CTAGCTCCCCACTGCTTAGCTAGATCCTTGCTCTCATACCCACTCCTTCCACAGCAACTCCAAGGCCAGATCCTCAGCAGGCCTTCCCTGCTGGAGGACCAGAATCAGTACCTTGTCTGGGTTCCTGGCAGCGGCCTTACCTGGCGCTGGGCAGGCTACTTATGTGGCAGCATTGATATTAAAAGGCCACCAGGTCACACTCCCTACAGATGACTTGGTCAGTCTCATCCAAACACAGGAGCTGACTTGATTCGGGGCACATGTGAAGCTCTTAGCATGAGGGAACTGCCCTCCGGCCTCAGTCTCCCCACTACACCCACCCATCCCTGGTGTTCCTAGCACTCCCCAGGAAGATGGGAGGAGACACAGGTCAAGAATCACCTCTTGGCCCTGCCCCATTCACCACTCTCCCAGCCTCTGCAGGTGGCACAAGGCTTTCCAACCTTGTCCTATTCAAGTGAATGTAAACTGCTTTGGCTTCCAGGAGCCATTCTGCCAAACACAGCCAGTGCCTTACGTGCATACACAACCAGCTAAGAACTCAAAACATTCAGAAAGACTGTGTGTGTGTTTTCACGTCTGATCACACAGACCGTACCTTGTCATTACTCCCTTGGCAATATGGCATGTAAGTGTCTCCTGGCATTTACCTTGTCTCAGGTGGTTTAGGTGACCTAGAAATGACTTTGGAGGTCTGGGAGGACACACACAGGTTCTACTGAATCACTGTGCCACTTCCTGTGAGGGAGCTGGATACCCTGGAGTCTGTGGGGGTCCTGGAACCAACATAACCAATGATACTGGGAGACACTTGCACAGAATTAAGGGAGTATTTTGATACCTCAGATCCCTGTGGCATAAAGTAACAGGGAAATGTGGGGCCAAAACACGGGGTCAGCTGTCTCAGACACAGTGTAAAAGAATAGAAAGAGTCCACCAATGTCCAGGTCCTGCAAGAACTCCCAACAGTGCAGTGTGGACCACTACCGCCCTCACCTCATGGCACAGGCAGAGTGAAGACGCAGCTCCAGGCAAAGGGCCACTGCTGCTCTGGTATCCACCCACCTATCGAGTTAGAGAGGAGGGAGTTAGAAACATGAAGATGAGAAGCGGGCAGCCCAGCCCCCAAAGCATGGACCATGATGCCACAACAGCTGCCAGTCAGCCCGCCACCCTCCCCTCTTGCAGGGCAGAGCCCATGAAACAAGACAATCACAGTTCTACACACATTTCTAGTTTATTATGGCAAAGGTGAAAATGCCACCTTCTCCACAACAGCAACCAGTAAAATTTATCCCAAAAATAACTTGGTACAAAACAGGTCTGTTTCGGAATTAAAAAAAAAAAAAAAAAAAAAGAAAAGAAAAGAAAAGAAAAACTTTACATGAGTTTTTAAATGCTATCTTAAAACATAAAAGAAACAAATCGGTCATTGGCCACACAGCCCAGTTCCCACCCCCTCCTCCCAGAGAGCGGATGGAATGCTGGGTCCTCTCCACGCAGATCAGCGGTTTAGCTGGTGTCCATCTGGAACAGAAGAGGGAGGAAGGTCACTCAGGGGTCCCCACCCTCCCATGACTTTGGTCAGTCCCTCTCGAGACTCACCCTTGCATTATAGGCGTCCAGCTGTGCATCCAGCTCCTCTGCAGAAAGCTGCTGCTTTGAGTTCCTGCCAGTGCCTCTGCCTCTTCCTCGGCTACCTCCACGGGTCCCTCTCCGGGTGCCACCACCACCGAAACCTCCGGAGCCACGGTTTCTAGTCATGCCACCTCTGTTTACACTAGTGAGGAAAACAGAACTCACTGAGCCATCTGGCTTTTAGACCACATCCCATAGGCCAATCAGTGCCCACCCCAAAGGCCTTGGAACTCACCTCTGTGCAGGTCTTCGCTGTGTTTCAATCTGTGACGTGACAAGCTGGATATTCATGGGACGGCCTGTGGCAAAAAATACGAGAGAGCTCATTGCAGAGATTTTGAAGCTAACCCAGAGGCACCATACCCTGGTCTCCATGCAAGCTCTGGAAAGGGCCTCAGTACATCTCCAGCTCCCCCAACAAGGGAAACAACCTGGAGAGTTGGTGGGAGAACAGAGTAACAATAAAAGAACCCCACCAACACCTCCTTACTCCTTCTCTGACCAGGTAGGTGGGCTGTTTGGTCAGGTGTCTGGGGTGCTCATGGGTGGACAGGTGTGGGTGACCTGACGGAAGAAGAACAGGTACCTTTGTCTTTACGACTACAGCCCCGCACTCAGGTGTACTATGGCGATTCCGAGAAGGCTTCACAGAAGTGAATCTTCCGGAAGGAGCTGAAGGAGGGGAGGGATGTAGCTTGCTGGATGGGGATTCACAAGAGGTTGGTCCAGATGTGTGGGGCAGCATGAGAGGTGGCAGAATGGAAGAGAGAGACAAAGGGGCAAATGCAAAGTATCCTCAGCCAGAGGGGCCACCCATATTCCTACAGGGACCAGTGCCAGCCCCAAACTCCACAAGCCCCACAGGTGTCCTGGGCCTAGCTCCAGACTCACCGTCCAGAGGGACACCATTATACTGTTTCATAGCTTTCAGGGCGTCTGCCTTCCGTTCAAAGTGTACATCTGCTGTTCCTAAACTTCGGCCAGAGCGATCATAGTGCACGGCTGCCTTTTTCAGTGTTCCAAATTCAGCGAACAGTTCCTAGGAGCCAGGAAGAGCAGCTGTTAAAGCATGTAAGGCATTTTCCTTCCAAGGCCCAGAAACAGTCCCTGAGAACACAAAGTGCTTTTAGGAGTTCCTTGGCAGCCTTTTACAGGGATGCAGGGCAGTAGTAACAGAAGCCAAGGGAAGGGGTAAGGTGGTGGTGGTGGGGGGGGGGGGACGACAACTTACAAGAACACCTAGGATGGACAACCCCTGCCCATTTGGGAACCTGACATCTTTCTGTATCATGAACCAGTTACAAAATGTTGCAATACCCCAACATGGGTGTAGCATTAAATCACTATCTTTTTCAATGGAGGAAAACTTACTACACGCCAAGGTCTACTTCACAAAAGAGCAAAAGTCAAGAACAATAATGAGAACTTCCCAACAGACTGCACAGCTCAAAGGGCCCACTACTCAGGAGTGCTGCACTCCACCCTCCCCATTCTGGCCCACCTTTCCCTCTCCTCCTACTCAAGCCTGCCGGAGTCTGACCAAAGTCAAGCACACCATGGAAACTGCGCTGACCTCAGGCAGGCTGGGAGTGGAGAGGGAACCCAGAGTTTGGGGCTACTCCAGCTGCAGGCATACAGTGGGAGGTGGAGTTCACCAAAAGCAGTTTCCAGTGGATGCTAGAAACCACTTTTAAAAGTGTTGAGACACTGTGCATGCTCAGTCTTTTGCGGTCCTCACGGAATTGCTACGCTCTGAGACATGGAACCCAAGGAAGGTCCAGCACCCTGACCCAGCCACCTCCAAGACTCACTCCCAAAAAGAGCTGACCAAAAAAACTTTCAATGCTTTTGGATTCCAATCAAAAACGTAAATGAAAGACAAACTTGACAAGTCATGCCAACAGCAAGACTGAAGGAAGGTGGTAGTCGCTCAAGGCAATACCGCGAGAAAACACAGTTACAAGCCCCCTACGCTGTGCTGACAACACAAAGCTCACTAAAACAGGCACGAAGTTTAGAAAATAGTAGCCTCCAGAATCCTCCCTCACATTCGCCCAGTCACTGTGCCTGTGAGAAACTGGCAGTTTCAGTAAGAAAAAGAGGGCCTCCCCGGGCCCCCGGAAGGTCCGTTCTACAGCCAACTAACCTACTGTCTGTCACCCTCCGCCCGCACACACTGCCTGCCTCTGAGCTCCCGTATGCCGGGCATCCCCTTCGAAATTCAGCCCGCTCATGACACTGGGAGGCTCGGGTTCTGAGGCGGGTGGGAACTCAGGACCGTATTTCCATCCGTGTGGGACCAGGTGCTAGCTGGGAAGCTCTCGGCGCGCCTACCTGAATATCTGCGTCTGATACTCCGAAGTCCAGGTTTGACACCAACAGCTTCCCACCCGTCTCCACGCCGGCACCACCCCCAAAGCCACTGTCGAAAAGGTCATGTTGCCACTTGTCGGGAAGTTGCTTTGGCTGAAAAAAAAAAACCAGAAACATACCCGTTAGGTGTCTTGCTCGGACTGCCCCTCGGCCTCACGGACGCCCAGGTCCTCCCTTGTGCAGGGACCCGTGCTTCAGACGCCAAGAGCAGCCCCCTTTCTGCCGGAAGCCCGGGGTCCCACAGCGGCCGCGCACTATTCCTGCGTCCCTCGCCTAAGTTCCCGCCGCCATGAGCCCCAGCAGAGTCCGGACAAAGCGACGGAGAAGACCCTCGCCGTGGGCCGGGGCTCGCAGAGCCACTGCCCTCCGCCTATCCCAAGCCACGGTACCGCCGGGACTCCACGGCCGCAGCGCCTGGCCGCCCCAGTGCCCCCAAACTCACCCTGCTGTAGGGCGCCGGCCGGTTCCTGCCGCCGCCGCCCGCCGCGCCGCGGGCGATGGCCGGCCGATTCCGCATGGGCCCGCCGCCTCGATTCACTCGCGCGGCGGCCTGCGCCCCACCGCCGCGGCCGCCCTGGGAACCGGCCCTGCCGCGGCCACGGCCCCCGCCGCGGCCGCCTCGCTGGCTCCGGTTCAGCTTAATGATGTCGTCCAAAGACATATCCATTTTGTCGGCCATGGCGGGCGCGGAATCGGGCCTCGGATCGAGCCCGCGCGTCAGCACGTCGGGGCGTCACTTCCGGCGCTGGCGCGGTCTTCCGGCGTCGAAGGTCTTGAGCAGCAAGCGATTGGCTGAGGCGCACGAAAGACGAGTGGGCGCGTGCGCACCAGTCGGCAAACTCGGCGGGCGCAACTCTAGCAGCGCCAGTCTCCAAGCGGTCGTTTTTGTACCTTCCCGCGCGTAGGGCGGTGCAGCAGACAAAAGGGCGGTGCAGTCGACGTAAGGGCGGGTCAGGGCGTGATTAGGTGACGCAGGTGCGAGGGCGGGAGGTGGGCGGGGTTGCCCGCCAGTTGGATTAGTGTCAGCCTGGGGGGTCTGGAGCCGGGCGGTTGCTTCCGTTTAGCCTTTTGCTCGCGGGTCACTGGTTGGCGGCGTTGCTGACGAGCTGCGGATCGGAGTTTCCCGGTTCGTGTGTCCTCTGAGGCGAAGACAAAGGCAAAGGCTGCTAGCAAGCTGGAGTCTGCTTTCCATCTGTAACCTCCCAAGTTAGTGACTGTTTGTTAGTATCTTTTCACTGTCTGAATCGGCATGGTGGTTTCGAGACCGGTTTTGTCAACTTAGCGAGACCCTGCCTCAAAAAATAAGATGAAGGGGCTGGAGGTTTAGCTCAGCGGCATAAGCACCTGCCTTGCAAGCAGGCGGTCGTGAGTTCGATCCCCGGTACCGATAAAAATGAAAAAGACAAAAAAAAAAAAAAAAAAAAAAAAAAAAAGATGAAAAAGGGCTGGGTAGCAGCTTAGTGGTAGAGTACTTGCCTAGCACACTCCAGTATACCCACGAAGTCGATTGCGGGCGCGCGCTAGAGAGGGGAGGGTGGTTAGTTGGGTGGTACGTGATGTATTTTGGCAACTTAGAAATGAGAACCAATGCACCCTTCCAAGGGTGTAGATTTTTGAAAATATCCTAAATGTGTGGCAGAACCAAACCCAAATTTGGCCTGTTCTAATCTCCCCAGCACTGACAAGCCAACGAATCAAGTTATGTGCCTTTCTGTTGATGACATGAGATGGCTGGTAGATAGATAACTTTTGGTTTGTTTGAGACATGGTCTCACTATGCAGTTCAGGCTGATCTCAAACTTGCAGCAATCCTGCCTCCGCCTCCCAAGTGTTAGGATTATAATAGACATGTGCCACCGTGCCCAGCATAGATAGTAACTCTTGAAAAACAAATCTTTTCCTCTAGTAGCTCCTGTGAAGCCACTGGGCTGTAAGCACAAGGCAGCACTGCTACTTTGGTAGCTAGATTTTGTAGTTGTGCAGTGTGACTTCAGCTAGGTAATTCTTCAACCTGCAGGCTCTGCTGCCATGAAAGTGAAGATTAAATGCTGGAATGGTGTGGCCACTTGGCTCTGGGTAGCCAACGATGAGAACTGTGGCATCTGCAGGATGGCGTTCAATGGCTGCTGTCCAGACTGTAAGTGTGTCCTCTCTGTGTGCTTCCATCCCTGCCTGCTTGCCCAGCTTTGAAGTCCCTACTTTTTGTTTCTTTTTCCTGAAGAATACTTACAAAAACAATTGTCAGGCATTCTTAACCATTTTATAAAAAGACTCCTTTTTTTTAATAGATTTTTTTTTTTAATGTACCAGGAATTGAAGTCAGAACCTCATGCTTGCCAGGCCAGCACTTATGGTCGGTGAGCTATATCCCCAGCTCAAGACTATTTATTTATTTGTCATTTTGAGACAGAGTCTTGCTATGTAGTTTGGCTGGCCTTGGGCTCACTCTGTAACCTAGGCTTGTCTTGTACTCACTCTGTAACCTAGGCTTGTCTTGCAATGATCCTCCTGCCTCAGCCTCCCAAGTGCTGAGATTATAGGCATGAACCACCATGCCCAGCTTATAAAGACTATTAAATGTCATTCATGCTGTGTTGTCTTTATCTGTAATCCCAGCACTCATGAGGCCAGGGATATAGCTCAGCAACAGAACACCTGCCTGGTAAGTAAAAGATTATAATTTGATTCCTGTTAGCAAAAAAAAAAAAAATTCTGGTACTCAGGAGGCTGAGGGAGGAGAATTACTGTGAATTTGAGACCAGCCTGGGCTACAGAGTAAGTTCAAGACCAGCCTGAACTGCAAAGCCAGACCCTGTCTCAAAAAATACTAAAAAAAAAGTCATTCATGGTGGCATGTGACTGTACTCTCAGTTACTTGGAAGGCTGAGGCAGGAAGATCACAAGTTTGAGACTATCCTAGGCAATTTACTGAGACCTATCTCAAAATAAAATTTATTTTAAAAATATTTAAATTTATTTTTTAGCTGAGGATGGTGGTGCATCCCGATAACCCTGGCCCTCATGAACCTGAGGCAGAAGATACCTCAAATTCAAGCCTCAACAACTAATCAAACTCTGTCTCAAAAAAACCAGAAAAAGGCTGGGCGTGGTGGCTCACGCCTGTAATCCCAGCAGTCGGGAGGCTGAGGTGGGAGGATGGTTTCAAGTTAAGAGACCAGCCTGGGCTACAGAGTGAGCTCAAGGCCAGCCTGAACTGCATAGAGAGACCCCATCTCAAGGAAGATAGGAAAAAAAAAAAAAGTTTAAAATTTTTATTAGTACAGCTGGGTACGGTGAAGCACTCCTATAATCCCAACACTCAGGAGGCTGAGGCAGTTGGATCTTTGCAAGTTCAAGACCAGCCTGGGCTACAAAGTGAGCCCACATAGTAAGACCCTATCTCAAGAAGACCAAAAAAAAAAAAAAATTTATTGGTACATATTTGTAGTACATAATGCTTAAATTCATCGTGAAGCTGGGTGTGGTGTGCACAGTTATAATCCCAGCACTCAGGAGACTGAGGCAGGAGGATTACTGTGAGTTTCAGGCCAGCCTGGGCTATAGCCAGACTGTCTTTAAAAAAAATTTGTTTTTTCATGATGGAGACTTGCTACATGTACATAACAGATTTTTCTTTTTCTGGTACTAGGGATCAAACTCATGACTTTGTGTCTGCCAGGCCAGGCACTGTGGTGCTGAACTATATCCTCAGCCCCATAACAGATGCTAATTTTTTCAATTTTCCCTCTGCTCACCCTTCCCTGTCCATCAGTCCCTCAAAATGGCCAGAGATACAATTTAGTATTTCCTGGGTTCAGTTCTCAGTACCAGAATAGGGGAAGGAGACCTGTTAAAAGCCATGTGTGACGTCAGTGCCTAACTACCCTGGACAACATCGTGAGACACCTATCATAAAAGAAAAGAGAAGGAGAAGGAAAAGGAAAGAAGGTGGGGTAGGATGGGATATTCATTGCTGTGGATGCCTGGTGGCACACAGCTCTAATCTCAACACTCAGGAGGCTTAGGCAATAGGATTGCTGGCAGGTCGAGTCCAGCCTGAACTATAGAAGGAAATCCTACCTCTAAATAAATACATAGGAAATTCTCCAATAAAATGGAATAGACAAGGACATTCTTGCTCAGCTCATTGCTGAGTTTCCCAGGCTAACCTCAAACATGTGTGATCCTTATGCCTCAGCCTCCTGGAGTGCCGGGGTTATAAGCATGTACCACCCATGTCCTGGCTTCTAATTTTATTTAATCCTTTTTAAATCACTTGTAAAAGTGCCAGGAAGACCATGGGAGCCTCAGCCACTTCGGCTTCCAGAGCAACAGGTTGTTAACTTTTTTCTTTCTCTCCCTGTCTAGGTTGTTAATTTTTATAAAGTCCTCAAAACCAATTGAGCACCTCCCAATCTTTCCAGGCCTACAGGTCTGGCATGGGCTGCTGAACATGCAGACTGGAGACAACTCTGTGGGCTCCAGGTGCCTGCCCCTGCCTGACCACAGAGGTGGCAGATGCACAGGACCTACAGAGCCCAGCCTGACCACACATGCGACCTGGGCCTGCAGCCAGGTTCTCTAAACAGGACCTTCCTTGTTGGGGTGAACACTCCACATCATGCAGTGTTCTCCAGTCGTGTGCATATGGGGCCTGTAGCCTGCAGAGAATAGGAAACTTGGGGCTGGGGATTTAGCTCAGCGGCATAAGCGCCTGCCTTGCAAGCCTGTGGTCAAGAGTTTGATCCCTGGTACCGTTAAAATACAAAAAAAAAAAAAAAAAAAATTAAAACTGAGAATAGGAAACTTAAACCCATTCTCTCTTTTTTTTTTGTCTTTTTGAGACAGTGTCTCGCTATGCAGTTCAGGCTGGCCTTGGGCTCACTTTGTAGCCCAGGCTGGTCTCGAGCTTGCAAGGATCCTCCTGCCTCAGCCTTCCGAGTGGTGGAATTATAGACATGAGCCATCACGCCCGGCTATAAACCCATTCTGTTTCTCACTGGCTAGGTTAGGGCGAGCCTGTTTTCATGTACAGTTTGGAGTGCTCTCTGGATGGGTTAGTTAAGTAGTGCTGGGTTTCTCTTGCAGCAGTCAGGAGTGACTAAGGCTTTCATGAACTTCCACGAGCCAGAGGGCTTTAGGGTAAAGCAGTTAGGTTGAGAGGTGTTTTATTTTTATTTTTATTTTTTTAAAAAAATTTTTTTTTTGAGACAAGGTTTCGCTGTGCAGTTCAGGCTGACCTTGAGCTCACTTTGTAGCCCAGGCTGGTCTCGAATTCGAAAGGATCCTCCCACCTCAGCCTCCTGAGTGCTGGGATTATAGGTGTGAGCCACCACACCCGGCCGAGAGGTGTTTTAATTAAAACATAATTTCATCCAGACACGAGCAGGTCCTTGTGTGACTCAGGGTGCACACTGACACCCATCAGCTGCCCCAGGCAGGCTGCTTGCAGGCACTGCTAGAACAGGGCAGGACCCCTCCGACTCTGGTGGGGGGCGGGGCAGCAGTGAGTGCTTTTGAGTGCCCCAGGGAAGAGGATCTCAAAGGGGCTTGGGAGCAGGTACAGTGTAGGGCAAGTGCCACAGGATGGGTTGGAAGTAGCAAGATCAAACATCCAGAGCCAAAGCAGCCCTGAGTGGGGACAGGATCAGGGCCTGGCTGTGTTTTTAGACCAGCTCTTCATAGGGCCTTGGATCGCTGAACTTAGAGGCGTTCTTCTCTTGATCATGACAGGGTGTCTGCACTAGACCTCCGCTGTGGAGGTGGCAGGCCCAGCCTGTGCCTCAGCCTTGGAGTAGGGCGGCAGGAAGGGGGAAGCCTGTGTAGTGGGCTGGCTCTGTGATATCCAGGGGAGGACTCTTTTAGGTCCCTGTGCCCCACCCTGCCTTTGGTGAAGACAGATAGATACTTTGCTGCTCAGATAGCATCTGCCCAGTACTCCGTGAGCATTACCTGCTTGCTGTCACCAGTCAAATGTCCACTGTGACCTCGACATTTGGGTGCAGGGCAACCCCTGTGGACTTCTCTGGCAGCCTGAGATGTTCAGGTCAGGGCAGAGCCACTGCTGATTCCCCGGTCCCTGCCTATGTTGTCATGCGCTCTGCGTGGCCTGCGGAGCCCTCCTAACGCTGCCGTCCCACAGGTAAGGTGCCTGGAGACGACTGCCCCCTGGTGTGGGGCCAGTGCTCCCACTGCTTCCACATGCACTGCATCCTCAAGTGGCTCAACGCACAGCAAGTGCAGCAGCACTGCCCCATGTGCCGCCAGGAGTGGAAGTTCAAGGAGTGAGGCCCTCCTCTCACCCGGACGCCCGGCATCTCCACTGGCAGTGGTGTCCCTGGCTGTGACGGGGTTGGACTGAGGACTGGAGCCTCCTGTGTTCTTTTCCCACAGAGCCAGACACTTTCATCCAATAAGTAAAGCTTGTTAAAGCAGCCTTGCTGGAGGCTGGGTGTCTGTGTTCTTAACATACTGATGTGACTGTGGTGTCTTTTGATAGGAAAATAATCATGAATAAACATCCCAATCAGAGTGTGATACATCACTTGGGCTGAAGGAGCTAGGATCCAGTGGGACAGCCTGGGGCAGGGCCCCGGGTATGTGTTTACTGGTGGAGGCCGACTGGGAGGCCAGGCTGAGGCCCTGGGAACCTCTCTTGGATCCTGGCAGAACCCACTGACAGCTGTTTGTCACAGGCCTCTGAGTAAAAGGAAAATGTCCTCAGAAGTGCTGCAGAGACAACTGTGGCAGTCTGTTCTCCAGGTCCCTTGTGTCTTGCTTGGGCTGCAGTGTAGCTCGCAGCCAACACATGCAGATGCAGGTGACCTGCTGGCCCTGCCCCTCCCAGCTGCTGCCTGGTCTGTTCCCAGAACTGCAGGACAGGTAAGTGAATACAGAGGCAGCTCACAGGGGCACAGCACTAAGCCGTGGGGTTAGAGAACAGACAGGAGGGCTCCAACAGCCCACAGCTCCTCCTGGCAGCCCACCCATGCTCCAGGGCTAGGATGCTGCTCCCCAGCATCTGCCAACCCCTGGCTGGGAAGAGAGGAGCCTCCCAAGGATTGTGTCTCCTTAGGACAATTGGCACTGGCACCAGTCCTTGGGAGTCAGGAAGGCCCACAGTTTAAGAGGAGAGATGGATATGATTTGAGTTTGGGACTTTGTAAAGGCTGCAGAGACTTGTGGCTTTGAATTTTCCTGCCTTACTGGAATCAGGTTTTCCCCAAAGTCCAGGCCTGATTCTGACCTGTGGACAGCCTGCTGTCCATTCTCCTGGGAACCTTCTCTAAAGAATGTGGTCTTCTACATCTTTATCCTCTCAGAAGGGTCTTCCCATGGAACAGGAAATGCTCAGGAGGGTCCAGCTTTCTCAGGTTCACTCTTTGAGGACAGGCTCTTGCTATCTAGTCCAGGCTGGCCTTAAACTCAAGGCAGTCTTCTGCCTCAGCCTCCTGTGTTTACAGGCATGTGGTACCACCCCAGCCCTCACTTAACTTTCCCAGCCATGCAGCTTGCCTCCGTGCTTCCCTGCCACTTGGGTCCCTCCGATTTGCTGTCCCTGGACTCCAGGTCACTCCTTTTCTCAGGGCCAGCCACATGCCTTGTCCTCACCTGCCAGACCCCGGGCATACCACATCTCTGGAGACTGCAGGCCCAGTACTCCTGTAGGCACGTGCACATCCTGCTTGATTCCTGCCCTCTTCTGTTCTGTCTGCTTCCTCCTAGGAAGTGGAGACCCCTGTAAGGTTCTCATCAAACCCCATAATCTCCAGCCTGGAGGAGGGTCACCCCACCAGCCTTTGCAGGCTCCTTTTATCTCCCTCAGGACATCCCTTCATTGCCCCTGCCACTGGCCCCAGTTAGATCCTGGGCTGTGACACTGTACATGCCCAAAGCCTGACCTTGCCCTGGGATCAGCTCCATTCACATGGCCTTTGCTGACTGGGTACAGGGAAGGCTCCAGGGGCAGACTGGGGGATGTGTCAGGGCCACCCATGCCTCTGCCTACATTCTGGCTTTGCTGGTCTCAGGGACCCGGCCCATAGTAAAACCTTCCGTCATGGGCACAAAACAGCCAGTGGGTCCCAGTCCCACCGTGGACTAACAGATGTTTCTTCCCTAGAAGCCTGGGGCCTGGGGGTCAGTTCCTTTTCAGGGCTCCCTTGTGCCTCATGAGTATTGTGTAGCCTGCAGCTTACTCTGCAGCTGCAGGAACACTAGAGACTGTGCAGTGCCACTCAGGGTCAGTGACAATTTAGTGCAGCCAGGCCAGCCCTGCTGGGCTACACAGGCTGAGGGTATGGAGTGGTCTGTGCACCTGAGCACAAAGCAGGGGTTCCACTCAGCCTGGGCTTTGCACTCCAAGTGCCTCAATGACCTGTGCTCCATGTGAATCATGGAGGACACAGCTCAACAGTGCTGCCACCACTTGCCTCCTAGTGGCCTGGTATGTGAACCTGGTGGTGAGCACTTGGTTCTGTGCCTGCTGCTGGGGCTTCCTGGCCTCATGTAGTATAAGCCATCCATAGGACCCTACCACTGCTCCATGGACTGCACTGCTGGGATGCTGTCAGGCTTTCTCAAGGCCTCATCTGTGCGGTGCTTCGAGCTCATAGTTGGTTCCAGACCCCATGCCCATGCCAAGCTACCACCCATGGGCAACTGTGCCCAGGGTTGTGGATGTTTGCAAGTGTATGCAGGTGGCCCTCCATGGCCATGTGCTTTCAGGACATTGCCTCACACCTGCAAAATTGTAAGCAGCTTCATGATGATCATGGGACCATCTTCCTGTTGCTGCACACCACAGATTGCCACTGTGCCTGAGCCTCAGACCCCAAGCCCAGACCCAGTAGGTCCTGGTGTGAGGATGGTGTCCTGTACCCTCTTAGCCTCTCCACTATCCCTCAGTAAATGGTTAAGTGAATAAAGGCAAAATGGAGCTGGTCTCCCGTGAGCTGCTGGGCAGGGTGACAGGCTTCATAGAGGTGAGGACTCAGAAATGCAGCCTGCTAGTGAATGCCTGGACCTGCAGGCAGGTTCCCCTGGAGCACGCCTTCCTCCTCCAAGCTACGTGGCCGTGCCTTTCCCAGCCTCCCCCTTCACAAAGCCAGAAGGGGGCCAGAACTCCAACGGCTGCACTCAAAGGAGGTCAGCTCAGAAGCCTTCCTCCCAGGATAACTGCTTGTAGGCATCGGGGCAGGATTCTGCCATGCTGTCCTTTAACCCCCACATAGGCTCTCCAGGGCCACCACTGTGACTCCATCACCCTTCGAATGGGAGCTCCCATGGGAGCTTACCTGGCCTCAGAGCCTCAGCCTCCTCAGAGCCAAAGCTCCTGGAGCCCCTGAATAGGCCCTGCCTATGTTCCACTCTGTTCCCAGTCCTACCTCTGGGATCCACCCCTTAGAAGCCTCCCCCAAGCACCTTTAAGTACTGTGGGCTTAACCACTGTGTGCAGTGAGTGTGTGAACAGCCGGGCTTTTAGGCTGTGCCAGGCCCTGGGCAGCCAGTGTGCAGAGTAGGGTGAGGAGTGAGGGCAGAACCACACCATGGTGGCCCAGACTCCCCAGTAGGACAAGCTTGGCTCAGCCTCCTTCCAAGCTTGGTAGCCTCAACCCCAACTCCCCATTTAAGGGTTCTGGAGTCTGTGTCTCAAAGTCAATCAACAGAGCTAGGGGCTGGGGCCTCTGACTGCCCCCTTAACTCCCACCCTCCTGGCCAGGCTGAGACCAAAGGTGGAGGCTCAGCATAGGAGAGTGAGTTTGAGGGCCTGCCCTCTGTCCCAGAGGCCCAGAGCCTGCCTGCAGGGTGTCCTCATCCTCACCCAAGAGGCCTGTGGATGTGGCATGACTCCCCAGTGACTGGGTCCAAGAGCACGTGGATACCACCAGTGCCAGGGCTGGGCCAGCCTCCTCTTCAGCCTGCAGCCAGGCAGCCCCTGTCTCTGCCATCAGAGCCCATGAAGACTGGTGATGCCCTTCCTCCTGAGCTTGGGGGTCCTAAGAGGAAATGAAAGAATGACCACCAGGTGGCTGCCCAGCTCAGATGTGTGAAAGTGGACCATACCTCCGATGCCTACACAGAACACAAGGCAGACTTCAAAAAAACTAAAGCCAAAGAAAAGGACACGCACTCCAAGTGGCTCAGAGGCCAAGGGGACCCAGCATCCTTGAGCAGAGCTGGGGCTGGTACCCAGGTCCTTACCCAGGCTAAGTCAGAACTGTACCACTGAGCCCGTCCTTTTCGGAACGGTACAGAAACCACCGAACTGTTTCCTCCTTCACAGCCATAGCAAAGGGTGACCCGTGGCTGACAGGGCTGCTGCACATGGGTCCACCAAAGATGACAGAGACTAGGGGTGGGGCTAGGCTGCCAAGCTTCTAGGAGCCTCTCAGTAGGAGAGGGAAATAGCCACTATCACCACAGGCAGGCTGGGAACCAGACAGCACGTCCCACAAGCTTTATTCAGTTGCAGTGAATTACACCAGCCCGAGGTACAGAGTGGAGAACCAGAAGTCCAGAGAGGTTGAGGAGGCTAGCCGGATGGGCGGGGCACACTTAAGTCTTCCCAGAGCCAGGCAAGGGGTGCTGGATGTGCTGCAGGGCAGAGTGTGCCAACTTGGGGGTCGCCAGCCCCAGAGCCACAGCTCCCCAAGGCTGTCCCCTCTGCTCCCCACCTTCAAAAGCTGGGTAGACAGTACAGCCTCCAGCCAAGAGGCAGGGCATGCCTGTCCAAGAGAGGGGAGCTGCAGCTGGAACCCAGTCAGCAGCAGCAGCAGACCGGAGCAGCACCCCTTGGGTTGCAGGTGCCCTCTGCGCATCACGCAAGCTGGGCTGCTCCTGTATGGAGAGGGCTGAGGGCCTGCTGCAGGACAGGTACCTTGCAGGCAGGAGAAGGAACATCCTCCTCATTGGCCCTCTGTGGCCAGCCAGGCTGATGCTGTGGCTTCCTTTAGATTTGTGGGTACTTAGATGCAGAAGCAGAGCGCAGTGGGCGCCGCAGGGCCCAGGATCCCTACTCGGCCTCCCTCATGGGCTGTGCCTCCTGCTGCCTTATGGCCTCCAGGAAGGCCAGCTCCTTGGCTTCTTTCTTCTGGTTTCGTGCCTCGTACTCTAACCTGGGGGGGTCCGGACAGAGGTGAGCAAGGCCGAAGGACTTCTGGCCAATGGCAGGTACACGTGCCCCTCAACTGGACTCACCTAGGTGGGCATACCTGTTCTTGATGATCCTCTGCACAATCAAGTCTGTGGTAAGGTTGCTGCCACTGTCAATCTGGTGGAAGATGCCCCTTCTCTTGGGCTCCTACGGGCCTCAAGAGGTGGATGGCACTGAGTCCCTCCTGAACATTAAGTGTGCCTCCTTGTGCTGTAGGGCCTCACAGCAGCAATGGCTGTGCCATTTCCCAGAGGGAGGTGAGGCTCAGGAGCCTTCAACCCAGACCCAAGGAAAGTCAGCATGACCCACCTGGTAGGGATCAGATCCATCCCTGTCAGGCACAATCTCTGTCTTCCCGTGACATACCAGGTCCACCTGGGGAGGGAAAGGAATCAGGAGCCTTCCCCAAGGGAGCCGCCGCCGCCGCCACCACCACCACTGCCCAGGTAGGCCCCCCCCCACCGCCACAGTGTGCTGGCCCCACCCATGGCAACACCATGAGCCGACCCCACAAGGAGCCTCACCTTGAAGTGACCCAGAAGCTCTGCTGTGACTGCATATGGTGCCCCAATCACTACTTCAGACACATACTGTAGGGACAGTAAGCAGAGGGGTTCACTTGGTCGCCACTTCTAGCAAGCCAGGGTTTGGACAGTACCAGAGGGGACAGCCCTAGCACAGGGCCAAGACAATAAGAAAGCCAACAAGGACAGGGCAGCATGGCTGGCCCACTGGCCAGAGGATCCCTCAGGCTGCTTGGTGTGAAAGGGGCCATGCTCACCCGGCAGGCCAGCACACTCAGTGTCCTCTCGTGCAGGTTCATGATGGGATAATTCTTCCCCTTGTACCGGTTGACCTCCTACGGTCAGAGAGAGGTCAGCTCAGCTTGAGGACCTCAGATGGACAAACTGCCCTCCCTCCCAGCTATCCCCAGTGGGCAGAAATTGAGAAAGGAGGCCTTATGGGAACACTCAGACCCAAGTCCTTAACCCCAGAAGAGAACCAAGCTTGGCCCCAAGGGGTCCCCTTTGCTCCCACAGGCCACCTGAGCCCACACTGACCCCAGGGCCTTCGTAACTTGTTGGCACCCTTAGTGCTGGGGAGCCAGAGGGCAGGCAGAGACCTGGTCAAAGTGCAGGCCAGCGATGACATAGGGCCTGTCTGCCAGCTTGTGCACCTTCTCCAGGAAGTCCACGTGTCCAATGTCTATGCACAGGTTAAGAAGCACTAATAGGCAGGGAAGGCAAGTAGCTCTGACCCCTAATAGCTCACACTCCTGGGTCCTGCCACCATTCTCCCTGCTGATGACTGTCCCTCTGCACCAAAGCTTGAGGGGGCCCCGGCCCTGACCCATATGAGTATGGCACAGCACAGGCCTGCGGAGGATACGGAACAGGTCGAAGGCTCCAGCTACATAGATGACGGTCTCCCCTGGCTGAGGCTCCTTTCCAGAAGCAAACTGGATGATCTTCTGAGATGTCTGTAGGAACTGGGACACCCCTGTCCAGGGGTTCTGCCCCCCAGGGCACTGTCAGCCAAGAGAGGGAGGTGGTCACAGCAAGGCCTGGCCACCACCACAAACATGACGGGCCCCAGACCAAGATGGTGTGCTACCACCGAGAGGAGTGTAAGGCTGGTGGACACAGCCCTCTGTGGGACTCAGCATGCCGAGGCCACCATCTGGTCACCTGGGAGGAGCCTTCTGAGGAAAGTGTGTCCTCGGCAGGTGTTGGGTGAGAGGGCTATAAAGGGAGAGAGGGCCAGGCCACTTGGTTAGAGGTCACCTATAAGTCTTACCAGCTGGCCAGGCCTGGCAGTCAATGCCTGGTCAGTGCCGGGAAGGGAGGGAGGAGGGCTGACAGTGAAGCTCTGAGTGGAACCATCCCCAAAGAGGGGAGGACAGGGAGTGGGTGCAAGAGAGACCCGTGACAGCAGGCGTCACCCTACTCCCCAGGGGCCACTCACCTTGCCAAAGCTGTCTGCATACTCGCGGTACTCAGAGGACATCTCCTGTGCACAGGGAGAGGGCACTGAGAGGCAGGACAGGAAGCCCCTGAGGGTGGATGGTAAGTGAAGCTCCTACCCCACTTGCAGTGACCTTGACCTAGGGACCCTGCTTGGTCCCTTCAGACTCACCTGGCTGCTGTGATGAGCCTTGGTCACCAGCAGCATGCGGCCCACGAGATCTGTGGTAGACACACCCTGGGTGCGTTTGCATTCTCTGAGGGGCAGAGGCAGGGTTGGGGACTTTGTATCCTGGGCACACTAGGCAGACCCCACCTACGGGACACAACCCTCACCCTGCCTCAACACTGGTGTCTCTTCCCCATACCTGGCTGCAAGGGAAAACCCAGACTAAGAGCAGGAGAAAGACCACTGTGGTTTTTCCTTAAAGAAAAGCATAGGAGCAAAGCACCATGAAGATCTCTGGACCCCTATGTCCGAAGTACGTAAGAGTGGCAGGCCACACTCGGGGGGGGGGGGTCCCTCCTACCCAGGTATTGCTGCAGTGCACATGTTCTGCCAAAGGACTCCAGGCTGCAGTGCCCCACACAGCCACAAAAACAGTGGGGTCGTTAATTAAAAGCTCCTCAGAGGCATCAGCCATGCTGTAATGCTCCGCAGCTGCCAGCCAGTGACCACTATGCCACCATCTTTGCTACACAGCTGCCAGACCCAAACCCACAACAAGCACCTTCCTTGCCACAGCTGCCAGCCCTGGCCACAGGCCCATATGCTCCTCTCATCGGCTACTGCAGAGCAGCTACGCATGAGCTAGGAGGGAATCCTGTGCCCCACTCTCTGAACAGGGCTGCGGGGGACTTACCTGTACCTCCCTGCCTGTTTCACTTCCTCGTAAGTGTCACGGCCATCTACAGTCAGTGTGATGTCATCTAGGGGGTGACGAGCACATACAAGTAAGAATTTTTAACCCCAAGCCCTCCAGGAGTCCAGGACCCTCTCTACCCCAGGCTGCTGCCCCTAGCATTTGTGTGTTTTATTTCTGGGTAGGGACCCAGAGCTTTCTCAGATTCCCCGCCATCTCCAGATGCCCCACCATGAGGTCTGGGCCCAGGCCCAGCCCTTGTCCCCAAATCCCGCCCACTCACTGCCATGAACACAGAAGTCACAGTTGTACTTGTCCAGTGTCTCCAGTGTAGTGACATAAGGAGCGGCAGGTATCACCTCATCTACCCACTTGATGGCCTGAACCATTTTGTATCTCTCTTCCTGGGTAAACACCGGAGGCCCCTTGTGCTTGGCGATCTCCTCTAGGGCCAGAGAAAAAGACAAGGGATGAGTGACCTCTAGCTGGCTTCCTCATGAGCCTGCTTCCCTATACTGGTCAGGTCTGTAACTACACAGGTGGGCAGCCAGCCACTATCAACACGCCATCAGCCCCCAGGCCAGTACCACATGCAAGTGGCTACTGCTTGTCCTCTGGCCAGCACAGATGCCCCTGGACCCAAGATAGCTGCCAGTCCCTGTAGGCCTTGGGAGCCAGGCCAGGGCTTGAGAACAGACAGCACAGTTGGAGACTTGGTCCAACAACAGCACTGCACATGGACTTTATCAGCCTATTCTCTGTACATTGGACATCCTTAGCTGAGGCCAGCCTGAGCCTAGCTTACTATGCCTCACTCACAGCATGTTCCAGGGAGGGATGCCTGGGCCTGCCCTGTCCACCCCAAGGTCCTGGAGGCTTTTGTCAGCTGGGTTGACCCCAGGTGGACTGTGGGATGACAGATGGACACAACAGCCCACACCTTACCGTCAGTATGCACACCCACAATGAGGTAGTCGCCCATAGCCCGTGCCTGGCGCAGCTGGTTGGAGTGGCCATAATGTACCATGTCATAGCTGCGAGAACAGACAGAACAGACAAGTACTGTAGCGAAGAGGGCAGAGACTAGGAGGCTCTGTGATAGGGTGCAGCTTTGTTCTTTCAGGACTTTTTTTTTTTTTTAACCAGTACCAGGGATCAAACTCACGACCGCACGCTTGCAAGGCAGGCGCTTATGCCACTGAACTAAATCCCCAGCCCATCTTTCAGGACTCTTTTGGAAGTCCTTGGAGAATTCATCCCTTGGAACTACTGCTATGGCCCAGCCCATCTGGCTTTTCAGAGGAGAGGTGGGTACTTAGCTGTCCTTGACCACAGATCTTCGGCCAGAGAGCAGACTGCTGGCAATGCCAAGTCCAGCAAAGGTGCAACATGCAGGGACAACACCTAATGAGGTCCCCGGGTCTGGCAAGATGTCAAGACCAACTCACCCACTGGGAGCTGCATGGCCATTTCCAATGCCTTAGATCTTCTTTGTCCTTGTCCCCTCCCATCACCAAATACAAAATGCTGTGATCAATCACTTTAAAATAAATTAACTCTGACACAGTGAGCAATCCAATCCTGGGGCCAACGTAAAACAAAAAATCCAATCAAAAAACAAAGGCCCAGCAGGGACGGCACAGCACCCACATGATGAGGTCCTGTGTTCGATTCTTGGTACCAAAACAAAACAAACAAAAAAACAATGGCCTGGGAATCACTGGCTTTGAAAATCTCGTTTTTGGGGCTGGGGATTTAGCTCAGTGGCATAAGCACCTGCCTGGCAAGTGAGAGGTCATGAGTTTGATCCCTGGTACCAAAAAAAAAAAGAAAATCTCATTTTTATCCCCCATGGCCTGGCTTAACTTTCTGGGTGCATAACTGCTTCTGTCTCCTGGATCTAGAGCTCTTGCCCTCAAATCCAGGTCAGGCCATGAGCCCTTTTCTTGAGAGTGCTTGTGTGAACTGGTAACAGCCAGCGCCTTCTCTGTTGGCCAGTCTTGTGCTCTGCTCTGATTCCTTTCACTCCCACCATAGCACAAGGGATCTGTTAAGTTTGTGTCTAGATGTTCCACCAAAGTCCCATGGGGTTGCAGGGTTTTTCAGAGGTGACTGAATCTAGAGTGTGTGACTGATTCTCAGGGTGCAATGCTGGGATTAAGGGTGGGTGACTGCTGGATCAGTCCACTGATTAGACTGGCAGTGCCCTAATCCCAGCAGACTGGATACAATATAAGAGACAGAAAGAGGCTTGTCTTGCTCTCTCCTTGCTTTTGCAGTCACCTGCCACCATGAACAGTTACCCCTCAGCCATGGGCCACCAGCCACTCTGCCTTGGCACCAGCCAATTGTAGAACAAAATCTCTACAAACTGAGCTAGATGAACCTTTTCCTCCCTTAACCTTGGACGTCTGGTGTTTTGTCTCAGCAAAAAGAAAAATTAACAAAGAAAGGTCCCAGCAGAGGAGAGTTAAGAGTGGCCAACCTATGTGCCCGCTGGAGGGTAGGACAGAGGGCAGGGAAAGAACGGTGGTGTAAAGACCTGGTGCTATGTGTGTAGGCCAAGGTCAGAGTGCACTGACACAAAGCCGCGCTCCTGCTCCTATTCCCAAGGCGACACAGCTGCAAAAGAGTACAAAGTCCTGCCTCCTCCCTTGCTCCCCATGGGCTGACCAGACCTGTGCCTTCCCCACTTCAGTCAGTCACCTAGCGTGAAAGAATTAAGGGCAGCAAGTTACCACAAGAGCTCACCTTTCCTTCTACTTGTTGACAGCCCTCAACTTTCTTCTCAGCAATGCCCTAGCTCAACTTGCTAGAGAAGCCAGCAGAATCCTAGCCCCACGGAGGCCTGTGCATCCCACCATCCCTGGGACCCCTGCTGTCCGCCCACAGCCAGCACCTCGCCTTTTTTGGAGGACACTGCCGGGGTCTCCGGCAACTGCACGTTCGCTCCCTCAAGCGACCAGACAATTAGCTGGACCCGTGCGGCCCAGAACTTAAAGCCCCAAGCCCCGAGTCCTGGAAGGTGCCGGACATGTGGGCACCGTTGCCGAGCCGCGGGGGTATGTCTCGGGGAGCCCTAAGGCCAGCTCCCTCGCAGCCGCCAAGTCGACCAAGGTACGGGGCTGGGCCCACGACAACGGCCCAACCATGACCCTGAAGAGGCCGCCCGCCGCTGTTGCCCCGCTCACCAGCCATCGCACCACACGCGCACGGCGCTTCCACCCGCCGGACCTGGCCGCCCGTCGCTGTCCACCGTCCGGTGCCCGTTCCGGATCATAGTCCCGAGGTGGCGGACGGGGAGCTCGGGAAACTCTGAGCACCGCGGCCCCGCCTGGCTGTCGGACCGCACAGCAGTCACGCGGACCTCACCCGCCGCGCGCAGCCAATGGCGTACATCGCCAGCTCTGAGCTTCGCCACGCCCGCTGGGGGGACCCCGCCTCTCCGCCCACTGCGCGCGACCAATGACACATCCCGTCAGCCCCTAAGCCACACCCCCCCGCCCACAGCCAATGCTGAGTGCCGCCAGCCCTGCCCTGCCCCGGGCCCCACCTCCGCCTTTCCATTGGTGGTTAAGGCGGGCCTTTCCATTGGTGGTTAAGGCGGAGCAGGATCTTGCGAGGGTGCCTCCCGTCATCCCCAGGATCCCAGGTCCACAGACCCCAAGTGGAGCCCGGGAGCGCCGAAAAGCAGTCACTCAGGCAGAAAGACAGTGCAGAGATGTTTAATAGGGAAAAAGTCTGCTCGGAGCAGAGGCTCAGTATCGCCGCTCTGCTGCACACCCAACACAGAGAAAGATCGCTATAAAGTTAACACATTTAGTAGGAAATAGTAGAAATAGAGGCGGCCCTGAGAGTAGCTGGGTGAGTGAGGTAAGGCAGCTGTGGGCTCCTCTGCCAGCCAGGCCCAGAACCTGAGCTCTATTCTCACAGAGAGACCTGCTGCCACCCCTTTTTATAGAGAAGGTGCCCTGGGGTCAAGCCCACATTGGGGGGCACAGCAGTGCAAGGTGGCTTCCCACGGAACAAATGGCTAAAAATGTCAGGGTAAAATGTCACCCAGGAGCTCACATGAGGCTTCATGAGGACAAGCCGGCCTTCGCAGTGACACATGCCCCTGTATAAAAGTTCCAGCCATTTTCAAAGTGCCAATTGTTTGTCAACATCCAGGTTGGGCCAGGGATCTAGCTCAGCAGCGTGGTGCTTGCCTGGCAAACACGAGGTCCTGAGTTCAATTCCCGGTACCAAAAGAGAAAAAAACAAAAAACAGATTATATTGCTTTCTTCCTCTTTGCACGTTTGGCACAGCCCCTGCCAAACCAGCCCCCTAGGATGGCGGCTGAGCTAAGTGGAGCACTCTGGTCCTCGGATGGGGCCTCCTCTCTGTTTCTGCATAGAGACTTGCGACTGTGGCTGCCTTCTTCACCAGCACGTAGGGGAGTTGCCATGGAGAAGATAGGATCCTGCCACCTACCAGAAAGGGAAAGCGGCATCAGGTGGACCTGGAGGCACTCGGTCACAACCCGCCCTGGCATGGGAAAAACTGCCTCAGGAGGTCACCTGCCCTCCTGGCTCTTCCCTCCCTGTGTTTTAGCTGTGGCTGTTCCCAAGCTACAGAAGAGCTGCAGGAGAGGTAACCTCCTTGGGTGGCAACTCACAGGCCAGAACCACCCTCACTGGCCTCCTCAGAACTCAGTGTCTCATCCACAGTGCAGGCCCAGGGTCGGGTGGCTGAGTCCAGGACTCCTCTGTCTCCAGGGGTGAATCACTAGCAACTCTGGGCCCCACCTTTCACTCGGATGGCCAGGGGCAGTTAGACCAGACCCTCTTCCCCCTTCCCAGACTGCTTGATGGAGGGAGGCAAGGCTAGCTGACTAGGGAAGTGTGGCCTACAGACTACACTGTGAAGGAATCATGTGTCTGAGATGTAGAACCACAGATTATAAACGTAAGATACGGATATGCACTGATAAAGAAAATGAACTAAGTTAATGTAGAAAAAAAAAAATACAGGACACGATAGGCCCACGTCACAGAACACCACAAACATAACATACAAGAATTGCCAGGCCCAGAGGTGAAGGGATCCTTAATTTCTTGAACCCTTTGATTAAAAGAAGTTATTGATTTCCCCTATAAGACCCTGAAAATTCACAGAGAAAGAAAGTGTAAACTTTTTACTCAATACATAAACCAACTCTAAATTATCACAAATTCTGAATTAAGACATTTAGTTCAAGCTTCCCCCAAATACACCAGCTCCCAAAACCAGGACACTAAGAGTCTGTATAACCAGAGCTGCTGAGTTTTCATCCCCTCCAGGGCTCTTCCATCCAGGTTTGTCTGACAGGCCAATGGTAATGTGGTAATAAGAACGTACTGGCCATCCCCTCTCCCTGCAGGGCTTCTGAGCACAACAGCCAGGCAGAAGAGTGTGTATGTGTAGTCTTGCCTCAGACAGCCACGAAGGCCAGTCCCTCTGGCTGCTACCATGCTTCAGTCGCACCTTAGCTCTCACAACACCTCAGAGCTTCCTCCACACTGCTCACAGGAGCAGACAGACACAGCCCACCACACAGAGGGGCAGGGATGTTGTGGGGATGTGGCTACATCCACTCACCTGTTGTAGAGGGGGATCTCTAAGCCCAGTTCACCCATAAGGAGCCGCATGACATCATCACACTTCCCATGAAGCTTCAGGGCAGCCCAGTCATCCTTTGGAGTCCACTGACAACGGGAAAGGTGAGTGAGGCCAAAACTTAGCCCTTACCAGAGGCCTGTCAGCCTTGAGTCAGTGGCTCAGTGGTTACTTCCCCCAAGCCCACTTGCACATCCAAGGTCCATGAACATGCCACATCCCTCTAATTTGTCTGATGTGAGGCCCAGGTCTAAGGGCACAGTTGTTAGTACCCAAGTTACCTGCAAGTTCACAATGTAGAGCTTGGGCCGCCGGCTGGGGGGCTTGGTCATGCACCAGAGGCGGGGATATTTCTTTAGAACCTGGAGAATGGATGGACAGACAGACACAGCACACGCAGAGAACGAGGCTGCAGAAATGAGTCAGATGCCAACTGGAGTGGGGTTTGGGCAGGGAGGGATGGCAACAATCTCACTTCCTGGGGAGCTCAAGGTGTCATCAGCGCATACCTTCAAGCTGGACCCTAAACACAGGATCGTGTCTGCTTTGCTGGCAGCCTCCGTTGCCGCCTCCCAGTTCAGAGGCTGCCCCAATGTTCCCCTCTCCCCAAAGTGCACAATGGTGTCTCGGAGCTGAGCCCCACATTTGTGACAGGTCCGGCCTGTCTGGTGTCGGTGGAGAGCAGTGCGTTCTGTCACATCAAACACACGCACGTACTCCCTGTTGGGGATGCAGGAAGTGCAGACCTGAGGACAAGAGGGCATGATGAGTGGGACTCACCCACTGCTCAGGCCCCTGGTCCCCTTGGGATGGCTCACTTCAATGTACATGTTCCCATGGAGCTCTGAGATGGCTGTGCGCGGCAGCCCGCTTCGCAGGTGGAGCCCGTCACAGTTCTGAGACACCACATGCTGTACCTAGAAGGCAGACATAGCAGCAGTGAGGAAATGGGTGGCCAAGAGCGTTCAAGATTCAGGGCCATTGGAACCCTGCAAAAAGCCTTGAACGTGAGCCACATGGCAGGTATATCTCAGGGGAAGCAGGGGAGTCCTGTGGTGGGGAGACGGACACCATGTTCCTTCCCCATGAGTGAACAGGAGAACAAATGTCTGTATCATCCCACCATGTTGGACTTAGATGAGGGCAGAGAAGGCCACTCTGCCTTAGATTCATGCCCTCTGGGGTCATTCTATTTCAGATTGCCAAAGGCCCAGGTTGGTCTGCTCTTCCTATGTGGTACTCAGCAGGTCTCTGGAAGTTTCTCAGAAGCTTCCCTTGTGGCTAGGGCCATTTCCAAGAGCCCTGGGGCAATGCAAGAGAAGCTGGAGGCTGGCTGAGAATAGGGCTTAGGACAGGGGCTGCCCTTTCTTCTTGGAGAAGCACAGTAGGGTCCAACAAGAATCTAACCAGCTGCACATTGATCACTCCTGAGCTGAATGGCACCAAGGTGGGGTTCTGGGTCCCAGGCCTGGCAGATATGCCAGCCAGTGTTCTTACCAGCTTTTGCTCATGCAAATGCATGATGCTCATGTGGGTGAGGGTGGGCTCAGCCTCACTCAGGTCGGCAGCACTGCTGGGCAGAAGGGAAAGCAGGGGTGAGGGAGAAGCTAGTCAGGCCCACATGGCCAGTTCCACCACGTGAGAAGGCTGCTGGGTTTTGCTCACCTCACACTTCTCCCTTTCTGAAGCAGCGTCCACACTCCATTTGGTCCCCGGTAATCTGGGATAGAGGCTGCCTGCACATTCAGAAAAAAAAGTAGCCCAGTCAAAGGGCATCTCTGTAGGGACTGGCACAATTCCCAGAAGTGGGATATGCCATATTCCAGGCTGGCCCATAGATTGGCCTATTCTTTCCACAGTTGACCTGCCTGGACCTAAAATGGAGTGTGCCCTGGTACAGCCCCTTCTTTCTACCAACTCTCCCTCTCACATGGCCCAGATCACCCTTCGAGGTGCCATGGAGCCCTGATACCCCCAGACCAGTCTCTCTAGCACTGAGCACAAACATTTGTTCCTCCATTCAGGAGGAGTGGCCAGGTTATCCCCAGGGCCAGGCTCAGCACTCCAGAAATATTTAGCCAGTGGCAAACCCCTGGACAGGAGTACTCCTCCCTTCAAATCCTTATATCCTGAAGCTCTACAGTTCCTATTCCACCTTAGTACATGTATGATGGATGACATAAACATTACCTAATTTATCAAGTTTCTAATCCAACAAACCAGGTACCCAAGAAAAGGAAGCAAGAAAGTATTCAGGATGCAGGCATTCTGTACTCTATTCCAGTTCTTCACTGTTACTTAAGCTCAGAAAAATACCCGCCCCCTAATGATTCAACTGTCATATTCAAGAGTAACCTCAAATGGTAAAGCTCCAGTCAAACCGACTAGCCACTCCTGGTATTTATCACTGCAAGCTTGGCAAAAGGTCACATTATCATTGTTAAACAATCACATGACTGGATTTTATACGTGGCCGTGGGATTTTCGATGCTCTAGCTCCAGCTCTTTATGAGTTAGAACAGTGAATGCACCTTATACATTCTTGCTACTGAGCCTGTTATCTGTCTGGAGATAACCTTCACCCATCTCTCTTTATTTTTGAGGCCCTCCCTCAGCAAGCTCACAGGAAAAGACTTCCCAGCTTTGAATACAGTGTCCATTATTTCCATTTTTGTTTTTGGTTTTCTTAGAGATAGGGTCTTGTTGTGTGGCACACACTGACCTTGAACTTAAAATCTTTCCACTTTAACCCCTGGAACAGCTGGAATTACAAGTATGAGTTACCACCCCCACAAGTATATCTGGATTTGTGTGATAGTAACTTCAAAGTTACCTTTGCATTATGCTTACTTTGTGTGATTACTTTCTTTTTTTTTTGGAACCGGAATCCAACTCATGACCTTGCATTTGCCAGGCAGGAACTTTGCCACTGAGTTAAATCCCTGACCCTATGTGTGATTACTTTCACTTGTGAGGGTTTTTTTTTTTTTAAAGTACCTGGGATATGCCTAAATTGCCTGCACTGGTCTCCACCTTTTGATCCTCCTGCCTCAGTCTCCCAAGTGGCTGGGTTTACAAGTACATATCATCAGGCCCAGTACCTAAAGCTTCTTCCTTAAGAGCATAAATCACTTAGTGTTTATCTATCTCTGTGGGACTGGGTCTGCCTCACACTCCGCAATCACCTGTCAGATCACATGGTCGATGTACCCATCACACTTTCAAAGCTAAGCATGTTCCAGAGACCAGGAAAGCTTCATTGGAGAAAACTCCAGACCACTTCTCTTCTTCACCAGGTGTATTCTGATTCTGTCTTGTTTTCTACTTACCTTCCTTCAACGTGGAGAAAGCAAAGTGGGAAATCAGGAAATGAAAACCCTGAAGGTTAGCTCTGCCCCCATAACCTGGTCAATCAACTGTCCTCTTCGTTAAGAGGGGGCCAGCAAACAGTTACTACAGTTTCCATCTCTGTTCCTTGTCTTTAACTGAGCGACACCTTTAGGTCGTGCGTTTTTAAAAGTCTTTGCCTTAATTTTTGAGTTTTTTCGCGTATCTTTGAGGAAGGAAGACACCCTAGAGTTGCTTTATTTAATTCATTTATTTATTTTTTAAGAGTTCCTTTAATGATGAATGAGTCTAGTACTGATTCTATTCCAGGTCAGTCTCCCAGAAGGGGGCGCCCCACCTCCACCTGGCCTGTCCCGATCTGCCCGTCCCTCCCTACCTACCGTACTGATACCGGCGCCTGTGTAGACCACTAAGTATTTGGCGCTCCGGACGGCGCTGGCCAGCTCCCGGACTTTTCTCCGCAGCTCCTCGGGGTCATCGCACACCTGCTAGGAGCCCGGGCTGGTCATCCTGCCTGCCCATCCCTCCGCCCCTCCAGGGCAGCCGCACAGGACTGACCTCTTCCTGCCGCCGCTTCAGACCCTCACGCCGCCGGCTCCGGCCCTGCAGCTCTGTCACTAGGTCTTCACTCTCGGCCAGCAGCCGGCCCTCCTCAGCGCTGCGCTCCGCTGCCGCTTTCCTCAGGATGCGTGACACCTGCGGGTGGGCGGGCGGATGGGTGGGCAGGCATAAGCGACAGTGTGGGCGAGCGCGGGCGCGAGGCTGGCGGCGGCCTACCTGGCGAAGGCGCTCCCGCTGCTGTTCCTCCCGCAGCCTCCGGACTCGCTCCACCGCCTTGCGCTCGGAGCGGCTCAGACCACCGGCTGCCATCACTCCCAGACCACGCTTCCGGCTTCCGGCTTGCCCCGGAGGACGCTTGAGCATGCGTGCGTCTGGCCCACCCCACCCCTTCCTTCTCCGCGCCCCGCCGCTTCCGGCTTCCCACCTCGCGCACCGCTCCAAGGAAGCACACGCAGATGTTTAAAAGGCGTTTATTGATCATATACAAAATAAAGAAAACCTTATATATCACAAACATACACTATATACAGCAATAAATACCCGGGGGGAGGGTCAGACCGAGCGCTGGCCCTCCTGGACAATAATTTAGCAATAAATACTGCGCAGGGCACAGGTGGGCAGCTAGGTGGCTGCCGCTCAAGGCCAGGCCCTTGGCCATCTTACACTGGTGCGGGGGTCCCAGGCTTCACCCCTCACAGCCAGAGCCCACCACGCCTCACTCAGATCTTCAAGAATTTCCCCACCCCAGCCCTAAAGATCTCAGGCTTCCCTGGCTCAGCCCTCAGCTGAACTCTGCTTGGACACACTTCAACAGAAAGAGACCAACAGAGTGGGACAGGATAGCCCTTGTCCTGTTGCCCTAAGTTGCCAGGAGAAGGCTTTCTGTACCCACTCCCATTTGGTTAAAGGCTTCAGGAACTAGCAGATGGAGGGAACAGGAGGAAGGACAGGGCTGGGACATGAGGCTGCTGGTGGGGTTTAGAACCCAACTATGGTCACCAAAAATAGGGAGGTCTCACAGCGCACTGGGATATTTATACTCCCTTTCAGACTGGAGGCACCCTTGTACCAAAATGGTTATTGAGGGTGCAGCAGAAACGCTGAGGGCCCAGAAGGTACAGTGCATGCCCAGGTCTTGCATGGCAGAAGGAGGGCCGGCCATGGGAAGCTTGGGCACACCTTTACCTCTGTGTGCCACTGATTACGTCCCCTGCTCTCCACAAGTGCTCCAAAACCCAACAGGAAAGCAAAAACATGCCAAGAAAAATTATTCAGTGGCTTCTGGGGGGAAAGTCGTTAATGTGTTGGTTCCTTTCACCAAACCACAGCCTAAAAAAGTAACTCTCAAGATCCCAGAGCGGAAATGGTGAAGCAGGCTGTGGCTCAGGTTTCCCAGGTATGGACAGGAGTTTTGGCCAAGTGGCCACTCCGGAAAGGAAGGGAGCAGGGATGTGGCTGCTGTAGCTTATCAGAGCTGTAAGCCCAGGCACTGGCCACTGAGGCTACTGCTGACAGTCACAGGTGAGCACACGGCCCTCAAGAGCAGACCAAGGGCAGCCTACAGGAGGCCTGGTGCTGGCAGAAAACTCTGCACACAACACAGCAGCCACAGAGCACCTGAACTAATGGCAGCGCCACCCTGGAGCAGCAGGCAGGGACCACAGCGAGGGTGCCCTGGGGCCATACTCTTTGGCAAGAGCTGACCTGTTCACCCTAGATTTTTCCTATGAAATCTGAGTGTACATTTCAAGATAAGAGAGGAGGATAAGGGGCAAAAAAATCAAGGTGGAAGGGAAGACGCACATTATGAATTACTTAGCGGACATGTTTGGGAGACCTGGTCTTGACCAAAGCCCTCAATTCGCTGTGTCAGAAAAGTTGAGAGATGGAAGTAGACGATCATGATACCCTTACAGCAGGAAAATGGAATTAACAGGGATCAGCTAACAGTCAGATGTGGCCACACGATCTACTGTCAATAAATAAAGATGGCAGCAAAGAGGTGAAGTGGCCCTGCAGGGCAGCTTTGACAAGGAGCCAGTATATGCCCCAACCCAAGGAACAGCTGCTCCAAATTCAAAAACCATGAAAAGAAGCATCGCCCAATCATCTAGAGAAGATTCTGTAAACTTTAACCAACCCCCACACTTGTCAACACACAGCCAGTTCTAGCCTCCTCTGTCACTAGCACACTCCCTGTGTACTCTGCACCTGGAGGGCACACTCACTGAGGCACCACCGCCCTGCCAAGTCCAGTGGTGCTCCCCACTCCACTTTAGGGATAAGCATGATCCATTCCTGCTCTCTACTGCTACACAGCCAAAGCTGGCAACTCACATCCGGACCCCACTTAAATGACACCATGGAGTAAAGGGTGATACTGACAGACACAGTTTCCCTTGCAGTGGCCTCAGATACCAATGGGAACATCTAATTACCTTGAGCAAAGGAGCCTGTCAAGGCACAATGGCCAGGAGATACTCGGCTCCTATCACAGGCAGGTCAGACTCTAAAAAATCTTGCTGTCCACAGTGACAGCCCTGTCAAGCTATAGCCTTTTCTCTCACCAGCCCATACTTCTGTGTTTTTCAGAGTCCAAGGCCCCCAGAGAAGATGCCAGCAACTTTGGCAAGAGCCCAAGGCTCATGTGACTAGAGACCAGACTGTAGCCTCTTTCCGGTGGGCATAACGACACCCAGCCAGGCCATATACCCATGAGGAGCTTTCTGTGCCAACCCTGGAAGGAAGCTGGGAGCCTTCACCAGGGAGCTAGAATGGGGAAAGGGGTTTGAATTCTGCAGGAAGCACCTCCAAGTTGAGCAGCAGGTTCCTGGAAGACAGATTCCAAAGGGAGGCAGAAGGAGGTCCCAGAGCAAAGAGCTGCTAGCATGAACCAGCAGAGAAAAACAGAACTAGCTCTAGAGACACAGCCCTTGTTTGAGACTGGTGAAGCTGCCCAGGACCTCACAGTGAGGGAAGAAAGGAGCTTAATGGGGCCCCTGACCAATCTTCATGGGAAGCAACACCCCATATAGCATGGAAACAGTTTAGGATAAATGAATGGTGGGACTCGAAACCCACAAGATGGGCCCTACAGGTCCTGCCTGTGGCTCATGAAGCCTGTATGAACATGCTCAAGGCAGAGAAGGAAGACAGCCCGGGACAGCCTAGCCATGACTTTGTGGGCACCCACAGTGAATCCTTGGTCCCTGCATCACTACCACCCAGGGCTAGAGGTGGTGGATATGGAAGCCGTGGGGGGACCCCAAATGGCCCGTTTCACCATACCCGGCCACAGGGTCAGCCCAAGATCCAGACACACACAGGAAATCAAAGCTCAGCAGGGCAGGAGCAGCAGAGGCCCCTGGCAGACCAGCTGGGAAAAAAAGCAGACGCTGAAAGCAGAAGAAGCAGGGCTGCTGGGCACAGAACCCTCACCCACATTCTGATGGAGCAGGTGCTATCTGAGACCCAGCCCAGCTCAGGTCCAGCAAGCCAACAGAAGAAATACAACCAAATCCAAAAAACAAACACAGGAGACCACACAGGAAGGGATAGCCACAGGTCAAAGGTCACCAGAAGCACCAGCACTTTACGGCTGCACAAAACCTCACCAGGCACGGACGACACCACGGCACCACCACGGCACCGGCAAGAGACGGAAGCAGGAAGGGCAGAAGAGTAAGTCACTTTCGGTACAATTGCAAAAGATATCAAAGGGTGCCTCCGGTTGGCTCGCGGCTTGGCTTTTTTTTTTTTTTTTTTTTTTGTCTTTTTTTAAACTAAGTTTTATAAATAATGTCTGATAACTCTGTGTATATAAAAACTAAACTCCAACAGCCACAAAGAGTTGTCTGTAAGATAACAAGAAAGGGATTTTTTTTTTTAACTAACAAAATTTCTATTATACTTTCTTCCCTTTTCCATTTATACGGTCAAATGTTGTTTTTTTTTTAAAGACAATTTTATAAATACTCTGCAGCTCTTTTTTTCTTTAGCTCTTAAACATATAATTTAATAACTTCGTAAAAGGAACTTTTCTTTTTAAATAAAGGGCTATATAACCACACAAATAGGTCATGTAAACAGTGACACAGGACCCATCGCAGGACACACTGACACACCCTCCACACATACAACCAGTGATTTGGTCTTGTTCAGTGCACCACATTAGGCCCAAGCGCTGTGGCCCCTGCCCCAGTGCCCACAAAGCCCAGGCTGGTGGCTCACCTGTCCTGGGCGCTCGAGGGCATGCCACTCCTCAGAGTAGAGCCCATCTCTTACCACTGGGTTGAGTTGAGCTGTCTGGCTGGGTCTGAAGACAGAACCCCTCTGGTCCCAACCCAGCCCAGCAGCCTGTGTGAGCCTGCAGACTTGCAGGAGAGGCAGGAGAGGAGGACAGACCTGAGACCCAGCACTTTTGCTCACTTGCTCTTGGTCTCTCCCTCGTCCATTCCCAAAGTGCTCACTCTGGACTCCTGGCCCATATGGCCCAGTCCAAAGGGCATTGGGGCAACCCAACATCACTGCCAAACTGACCAATCCCAATATACAAAACACACGCACGACAACGATGAGATCAAAGGGGCTCAGCCCAGCCCCCCTGGGGTGCAGGTTGTGCTTTGCAGGGAAGGGAGGATGGGGGCAAGGAGGAGAGGAAGAAAAAGAGGAAGAAGAGGGACAGGGCTGCCAACTTTGCCATGCGCCTAGTGGCCCCTCAAAAAACTGCCCAGCAATTGCACACATCCCTAAGACCGGGCGTCCGTCTTGGACTTTACTATTGTGATGACACTGGTGGCAGCCACCTTGCCAGGGACCAAGGGCCCCAGACTGGCAGCAAGGGGGCCCCGAGCTGGGGCCACAGGACTTCGGGCTACGGTCCTGGCAAAGTTCTGCAGGGCCTCATACTTGGAACGCAGGGCGTCGAGCTCCAGCTTCATGCTAGCATTCTCTGAGGCCAGCTTCTCCACCTCTTGCTGCAGCTCCGCCTTCTGCTTCTCCAGCTCCTCCTTCTGGGTCACCCGTTTGACACGGCAGCTGGCTGCGTACCCACGGTTCTTGAGAGTGCGCCGGCGCTGCTTCAGCTGGATGATCTCCTCCTTGGACAGGCCCCGCAGGTGCTGATTTAGCTCTCGCACCGACATGGTCACCAGCTCCTCATCCGTCAGGCTGGTGCCATTCTCACCAGGCTCCCGCTTCACCTGGGTGCAGCATAATGCACAGTGTTATGGCAGAGCTGAGGCATCCCTCCCCACACAGCCTTAGCTTCAGCTTCCCCATCCTTGCCTGCTCACCTTCAAGGCCTTGTTTCCTTTATTGGGGGTCGTCATAACCCGGGGGGCACAGTGAGCAGACACTCTGCAAGATACAGAGCAGTGGTCAGGACCTAGCAATCATCCCAGCCCTGCCCTCCCCAGTCACGTGGGGGACCTGCACATTCCCTGGCACCTTGCCAGGGACCCTGCTGCCCAAGTGCCCAACTCCCAGAGCTCTGACCATCACCTGCCCATTCCCCTGATACCTGATGAGGACAGCCTTGGGGCCTTGCCTCTTCTTCAGGTCCTCCACAGCCCTGCCCCTAGACAGCCAAGTGGGGGTCAGGGAGATGTGATGGGGGCAGGGGAACTGAAGACTGCAACAGAGGCAGGGGCTGGACAAAGGGGTGGGGAAGAGATCAGAGAAGCCTCGGGAAGGGCAGGATTAGAAGGAAGACAGCTTTAAAAATAACCCCAGTGAGTACTGTTCTAGCGAGTCATGCTGACTCAGCACATTGCTTCCCTCCCCCTCCCATCCAGAGCCATTCCTGAGCCCAGTCAACAGCGCCCCAGGAGACTGAGGCCAGCTGCAGGTGAGGGCCAGCTAGTGAACCTGGGCTGTGTATTTAGGATGTGACCTCCTACAGCAGCCTCCTTGCAAGTGGCTGGGTCAAAGCCTCTCCTCCCTCTAGGGTGAAGAGCCTGTCCCTCTGGAGATCTGGGGAGTCTTGGTTCTCCCAGAGACTCCTGAATTGGAAGTCTGTCTTCCAGCAAGCTCTGGCTCCATGTGCACACTGGTTGGGAGTCCCCCACCTTCCAGGTGAAGGCAATCCAGCTAGGAGGTGTTGACCTGAGGCCCCTCCAACCCTCCTTGTCTACCTCCTCCAGGATGGAGTAACCATTCTGCGGCTTTGGGTTGCAGCATCCTGTGCCCAGACCCCACCCCGCCCTGGCTATTTCACAAGGGCCCCCACAATTATCCACTGGGGGTGGTGCCCTGTTTGAGGCAGCACAGAATAAGCCCCTCTGAATCACACTGATGCCAACTCCTGCCTGTGGTTGTCAGTATCCACAAGGTCAGGAAATGAGGGCTGCCTCCCCAGTATTCAGCTGCCCCTGATAGCCCAACCTCACTTTTTGGTCTTTGAAGCCTGTGCACCTAGTCTACAGACCACCCGACTCACCCTAGCTCACCAGACCTTCGGGCAGAACACCCCCTGCTCTATCCCTTCCTTTACGAGTCAGCCTGCACTGTAAGGTGGTCTGGAGTCTCCTCAGGAGGCCTCACAGACCCAGGCAATTATGGGCTATGGGAAGAGTATATTCTGAGTTTGGGCAGGGGAGGGGTCTTGACCATTACCAAGGGAGCTAATGTATAGGCTTGGAAAGTAGAAACCTCACCTCACCTCTCCTTGAACAAGGAGGTGAGGCTCCATGAAAAAAGCAAGCAGGGGAAGCCAGAGAGACCACCACAGAAGTCACCATGAGCATTTCAGAGGCAAGAACCCTTCAGAGCTGAGTATTTAGCTTAGCGGCATAAGCACCTGCCTGGCAAGTGTGAGGTTGTGAGTTCAATTCCCGGTTCCAAAAGTAAATAAATAAATAAAAAGAGCAAGGGAAAAAGAATAAAATAAATAAATAAAAATTTACAGTACATAAATTATTAAGGGCTGGGGATTTAGCTCAGCGGCATAACCACCTGCCTTGCAAGCAGGCGGTGGTGAGTTTGATCCCCGGTACTCATTAAAAAAAAAAAAAAAAAGAACCCTTTCAGATCAAGGGACAGGAGACCAGCGCTGGAAACCAGAAGGTCCCCAGCAGATTTCTCCTACAAGCTGGCCCGAGGCCCAACCGGGGAGCAAGCCCTCTTCAGGAGGAGCTCCAGGCCCTAAGTACAGATTAGGGTTACAGGGACCCTGCTCTGGCTCAGGCTTTCCCATCCCCTTCTTCCTCCACCCTGACTGCTGAGCACAATGACAAGAGTGACTTCCTGAGGAGCTCACACGGAAAAGTGCCGAGTGTGGCGGCTAGGAGCCAGAAAGTGCCTCCTCAACAGATTTCACCCTCTGCAGAAGGCCTGAACTCAGCACAAGCATAGCCAACTGCCTCTAATCAAAGGTGTGCACGAGTGCGTGTGCGTGTGTGTGAGAAAGAGAAAGAGAAGTAGGCCTTAGCAAACCCTATGCCCTGTGTCACCTCTGCCAAGAGTGGCACTGCAAAGACTGGGCAGAAGGAGACTCCAGAGTCTGGGTGATCAGGGAGAAGCTGCACCATCTCAGCCCTCCTGCGGGTCCTGAAAGCTGGTCGGGGCTGGGGCTCTGGAATCCTTCGCCTCCACTTCCTCACAGCCTGAGCCTGTCTCATGGGAGGAGGCACAATGGTCACAGGAGCCACCTACTCAGGCTGAGTGCCAGGGGCAACTCCATCTCCCCTCACACAACCCAAACATCAGCCCAAACTTGACACAAATAAGACATAGGCACTCGGTCCACCTGGCCCGCAGATCTCAGTGGCCAAAACTCCCAGGGAGTTTAGGCTTAGATTCTCTGGCACCTCAAATTCCAGAGGCACCTCCTCCAGAAGCCCTCAGTAACCAACAGTCAGTCTTCTAAAAGACTCTAAAACGTCACTTCCATTAAAGCATTAAGTGACTGGACACTTAAAAGAAACACCTGCTGGGGATCTGATGGGGAACTTTTCTGAGCTTTCCATGATAATACACAGCTGGCTGCAGCACAGACACTACAGGTTCCCCACCCTTGTTCTAAGGCATGCCTTTCCACCCGCAGAAATGAGGTGAAGTGTGAAATCATCTGGCACCTGAAAACCCAGGACTTGCGCAGGCTTCATGTGAGATGAAGCAAGTACCAGAGTGCTAGGAGTTAGGAAGACACCTTAATAGCAAACCACAAGGTCAGTTTGAAGAAGGAACTGCATGAGGAGTACAGTAGAGAAAGTGAGCACCTATCTACCGCTAAAACCCTGAGAGACCAGAAACCACAGCATAATCTAAAGAAAGGCAATTTGAGATGCAAGAGGTAAGGGCTGTCACTTCCCAAGAGCCAGGTGGCTGGCCAACCAGCAGGGCACACTTTTGAAGTCAGCAAACTTGTTGCAACACTGAAACCGCACACCGCAGGTGGGGACAGCTCTGGTGTAACTGGGAACTGCATCCCTTGAATCCCGTGCCTGCACCCTGAAACTCCCAACCTCTGTCTCGATCTCCAGCTTCCTAATTGCCATTTCGCAGTAGGGCTGCTTCTACTTCCTCCATAGCACACACCCCTCTGCCTACCACTGCCCCTCGGTCCTCTCTGCTCAGCCCGGCCGGCCAGACCAGTCACAGGGAAAGCCTGCTTCCCAGCCAGTCTGGCTCTGCCCACCTAAGCTCCTCCCTCTTCTGACTCAAAGAACTGTTTCCCACTTTGGGGAGCCGGCCCAAACGTGGAACCAAGGCCAGCTATCCACGGAGTGCCGACTGGGAGGGACGCAAAGGCCTGGGCTTCACCTTCTACCCGGGAGAAAGTTAGAAGCGTGCCCTGAACTCCTCCTCGCCCCTGCCTCCAACTCGCAGTTCGCCCAAACTTGAGACGCAGCCCAGCAACCTCACCGTCCAGCATCTTGCCCTCCGCCCCGGAGTGGCCCGCTCGCCCGCCCCGGCCCCGCGTCTGCAGGAGCACCGAGTGACCTCATGCTGATGACTCAGCACGTCTCCCTGGGCTCGCGCGCGCGTGGCGAGCGGGAGCCGAGCCGCGTCGCCGCCGCCCCTGCCGGCCAGGACTCTGCTTCGGGAGGCGCGGACCGACACCTGATGAGTCAGCGGTTCGCCGGGCCCGCAACTAGGGACCCCATGCGTCCCAGCCCCGTCCCCGCGACCCCCGCGGGGGGTGCCTAGTGTCCGCCGCGCGCACACCCGCGCCTGGCCTCGCCGCTGCCCGGCACACCCGAGCGCTAGGGTCAAGAACTATTTCCTAGGCAGTGGGGAAATGGAGGCCCCGGGCGCCCAGAGGGTTCACTATAGACCTCTGGCCAGGCCCCAGCGCCCGCCCACCGGGCCCGGGCCCAGCGCACTCACCACACTGCAGGCCCAGCAGGCCAGGGGGCGGGGACCGGCGAGAGGGGTCCGGGCCCGGGGTTGGGGTTGGGGGGTGGCCGCCTACGCGGGCCAGGCCCAGTGCTCTGCGAAGGCCAGGCCGGACAGGGCTCGGGAACCGCCGTCGCCGCCGCCGCCGCCGCTCCTCAGACGTCACATGATGTTTGGTCACGTGGGCTCCATTCATGAAGCGGCGACGCGGCCGGCCTCAGTTTAAAGGGGAAGCGGCGACAGGGCGGGCGCATTCCACTGCGCCTGCGTAATCCCGCGTCGTCGCCCCGAGCAACAGGCGCCGCGCCCCAACAGGTCTCGCGGGACTAGCCTCAACGCGCGCCGGTGCGGCCACACCTCCGCCGAGGCCCCAGAGCCAGGCGCCTGAGCAAAGGCTGGACCCAGGCTGAAGGGGTATGGCGTGGGTGTCATCCTTTATGCACACAGGCTTCCCATGGTTCTTCCTCCACATAGGCTGATCTGGGGTCTGGTGTCTAGCGGGGAGAACCCTCGTGGTGCTTTCTTGTTCTTGCACTAATACCCAATTTGTTACTCATGGCTGGGATGATTCTTACGTCCCAGATAATTAGCAGTCTGGCGGGGATGTGGCTTTTCAAGGGCATAGCCGAGACCCCAGCCCACGTCCTCAAAGCTACAACCACTAGGCCTCTTTACTCATTGATGGCTCCCCACCTGGAGCTGGGTGCGCCTCAGGGAGTTCCTGAAAGGTGTCTGATAACACAGGAATTCAACGTTGATGTATGAATTGCAGCTTCACCCACCACCCTTCCTAGGGCTTGAACCTGAGGCCTTGTGCTTGCTAGGCAGGCACTCCCACCACTATGCCACACACTGGTCTACCACAGACTGCATTGTTTCTCTCTTGAGACACTTAACATCTGTCTGGATCTTCCCTCTGACTCTGAGTCTGATTCTGCCTTTTCTGTAAGAAGACCCTAGCACTGTTGAAAATTTCCAGAGAAAGAACTGACAAAGGGAAATTGGAAGGGTCCAATTTCTGCCTGATTCTGCACTTATTTTATTATAAAAATTTTTAAATTGTTTTTGAGCCAGGGTCTTGCTATGTAGTTGATAATGAGCGTACTGAACCTTAAGCTCACTAGATAGCCTAGGCTGGCCTCAAACTCTGTGTGATCGTCCTGCCTCAGCCTCTGGAGTGCTGGATTACAGGCGTGCACCACCACACCTGTCACTGCTTCCCCCTCCCCCAGTACTGGAGATTGAATCTGGGGCTTTAGCACTGAGAACATCCCCCTAGCCCCTTTTCTTATTTTTCACGTTGAGACAGGGTCTCACTAAATTACTAAATTGCCCAGGCTAAGCATGAGTCTTCAATCCTCTTGCTTCAGTCTCCCAGAGTGCTGGATTTATAGTTGTGTGAGCCACCACATCCGATCAGTTTCTGGACTTTGTACTCAGTTCTCTTTCCTTCCCAGGAATAGAGCCAAGAAGGATGACTCTGCCAGGTGGGCAAGAAGGTGACAAGGGAATAGCCAGGCTCCAGTGCCCTCAAGGGATTCAGTGAACGTCTGATAGGGACCAACCCAGGAGTCCCCAAATCCATCCATCTGGCAAGCCTCCAGGAAACTGTCTTCGAGTGACTCCTCAGCACATTGTCACCAGCTGCTGTCTGGACGGTTCTTGTTCTCTTCTCCCTAAGGCAGTGGATAGGAACTTTTACCTTTGTTCCTCACACTGGGCATAGCCCAGATATCACAAAATAGAGGAGTTCGGTATGCTCATTATATCTTTAAAGCTCTCACCTTTTTTAAAAAATGAAATTTAGTCTGATCACATTGTCTAGGCTGCCTTCCAACTCCTGGATTGAAGAGTACCTGGGAGGTGGGCATGGTGGGGCATATCTATAACTCCAGCATTCTGGAAGACTGAGATAGGAGGATCACTGTGAGCTCAAGGCCAGTCTGGGCTACAAAGTGAGTTTAAGCCAGCCTGAACTGCATAGTGAAACCCTGTCTCAAAAAATAATAATAATAATAATAACAAAGCTGGGTGTGATGGCACACTTCTGTAATCCCAGCACACAGAAGGCTGAGGCAGGACGATTGTTGCAAGTTAGAAACCAGTTTGGTCTCTAAGTGAGCCTCAGGCTACAAAGTGAGCCTGAGGCCAGTCTAAACTGCATAGTGAGATCCTGTCTCAAAAAAGACCAAACCAAACCAAACAAAACAAATACAAAGTAAGCTCAAGCCCAGCCTGAACTGCAGAGTGAGACCCTGTCTCAAAATATACACCAATAAATAAATAAATAAGGCATTTTTTTTTTGTCTTTTTCGTTTTTATCGGTACCAGGGATCAAACTCACGACTGCCTGTCTGCAAGGCAGGTGCTTATGCCGCTGAGCTAAATCACCAGCCTCTAAATAAGGCATTTTTTAAAAATAAGTAAAATAAATTTAAAAAGTATCTGGGTAGCTCAGCACGTTATCCAATACCTGTAATCCCAGCACTTGGGATGCTGAGGTTCTTACCAGGAGTACACCACCATTCCCAGCTAAGCACTAAGGGTGTTTTTATGTACAAAACCAGTAAACATTAAAAAAAAAAAAAAAAAGTAACAGATTTAGCCTGGGACCAAGTGTGGTCCTATTTTCTGTATCTCCTGTGTCTTGCAGTTCTTTTCATTCTGCTCAGAAGGTCCAAAAATCAAGTCTGCCTGACCAATTTTGTGACTTAGTGAGATCCTGTCTTGAAATAAAAAGAGCTGTGGCTATGCCTCTAGGAGAAGGCCCTGTGTTCAATTCCCAGCATTAAAAAAAAAAAAAGAAAAGGAAAAAAAAAGGAAGAAAGAAAAGAAAAAAGAGAATTTTCAGGGCATCCCTGTCATTCCCATGCAGGAATCTGCATGATTAACCATCAAGAGCTGATACATTAGCTGGGGATATAACTCAGCAACATAGCACCTGCCTGGCAAGCACAAGGTTTGATTCCTGGTACCCCAAAAAGAGCTGATACTTAGCCAGGTGCAAAGGCACACACTATCATTCACGCACTCAGGGAGGCTGAGACAGGAGGATTGAAAGTTCATTTCCTCCCTGGGCAATTTAGCATGACCCAGTGTCAAGATAAAACAGTATAGTAGCACACAGTGCTAACCCTAGCACTTGAGAACCCGAGGCAGGAGGATCACTGTGATTTCAAGGCCAGCCTGACTATATAGCAAGACTCTCAAAAAATCATAATAAAGGACTGAGGATGATATAGCTCAAGGGTGTAATGCCACTGGCTTTAGTGCCTCAAAAAAGAAGCAAAAACTAAAGAGCTGATATGATACTCAGGCCCTCTTCATTCCTCCAGCACTGTTTCCTACTGTGGGGACCACTGCCCTCCTGCAGACAGCTTACAGTGTCTCCTGACACCCCCCCCCCCATTATAGCCTCCTCAGCCTCATTCCTGTCAAGCTATGCCCTCCCTAGGATGATCCCAGGACCCCATTGTCTCCTGCTAGAATCAGCAGGCCCTGGTGCTGCTGGGAGGCTCAGGGATTGTGGGACTTGGTTGATGTCACACCCCAACAGGGCTATCCTGCTTTCTGTGTCATTTCAGACGCTCTCTGGTGCCTGTCCTCCTTCCCTGCCTATCATTCCAAAGCCTGATCTACATAAGGATTAGCCTGACACAGGAAAGAACAAAGAAAGAGCCCCCTCTATCCAAGGCAGATGAGACTTGCAGGCAATTTCAATCAGGAAATTGAGGCAGAAGTTGGGCCAAGTAGAGAGAGCCAGTTTATTTATTTTTATTTATTTATTTATTTATTTATTTATTTTGAGAGAGCCAGTCTATCCACCAGGCTCCCCCAGCCACTGGGCTGAAAGCACAGACTCCAGACTTTGCCCCATTCTGATGGGAGCTTTCCAGGATTGGGAGTTAACAGAGCCAGTAGCGATGCGAATGGGATCCAGAGCTCCTTTCATGATTTTCTGCATGGCAGAAGGGGTCCTTTGCCCCAGAGCTTTCTCTGTTTAACCTGCTCCAGTTGCACATAAAGCACGTCTCCACTTGAGTCTCATCCTTGTGGTGACTTGTGGCATCCATCTCCCCTCAGCCTGCCCTACTGAGGGTTCCATGTGGCACCACCCCCACCTCCACTTCTGGACTTTTCTTAATAAGTGGAAAGCATCATAGCCTCTGCTTACTGAAATCCAGTGCCTTCTTCACAGCCTTCACAAAGGTTTGACCTGGGACTTCCACCTTGTTCCGGGATCCTTGAGATGTCAGGCACACGGCCTCTGGCAGTCTTTCCTAAAGGAATCTTTGTCAGGGGAGGGAGTGGTTCTGGGTTCGCATGGCCGTACTCACCACTTAGCAGGTGCCCACTGCTACCCACACAGCAGGGACCTGGCCTCAGGAGGGGCTGCAGACATCTTGTCCTCCTACACTACCCAGCCCAGGAGAGGGTCCTCTGCCAATTCCACGCTAGGCTAGGCTTGGGCCTGGGGAAGGCCATAGACAGGAGGGCAGGGACTCTGATGGTCACTATAGCCAAGCTCCCTGTGCTCTGCTGTACTTCCTCCCACTTTTCTTCTGCCTCAACTTTCCTTAGATTCAATAGACTGGATTTTCATCCCTAAAGTGTCTTCCACCTGCCTCAGCCACCTTGGTTCTTCAGTGGCCTCCCCTAAGCTCTCCTGGCTCACTCCCTGCCCCAGGAATCCACCTGCCTCACCTTGCTCCCCCAACACATGCTGCAGACTCCCAGTTTCACTGCGCATGTCATGTTTGAAGGATAGGGACCCCATCCTCCTGCTCCACACTTGATTGTTGACTGAAAGTACTCCTAGCCTCTGTAGAGACCTGCTACAACCCAATCTTGTGGGCCTCCTCAGAGGGCTTGTCTTTGTGTCACCACAATGATGCTCAGATAGACAACCTTCTAAATAGACCTGTGAGGGTGTTTTTGCATTGTCCTTTAAGTAGGTAAGTCAGTAAACTTGATTAAATGCAAGTAACTTTTTTTTTTGTCTTTTTCATTTTTATCGGTACCAGGGATTGAACTCACGACTGCCTGCTTGCAAGGCAGGCGCTTATGCCGCTGAGCTAAGTCCCCAGCCCCTAAATACAAGTAACTTTAAAAGGCTGGGGATTTAGCTCAGTGGTATAAGTGCCTGCCTTGCAAGTATGTGGTCCTGAGTTTGATCCCTGGTACCAAAAAAGTAACTTTAAAGAAAATTTTTTGTGTGTGGTACTGAGGACTGAACGGAAGGCCATTTCCACTAAGTTACATCTCCAGCAACTAGCCAGGCACATGGCATACACACCTGTAATCCCAGCACTTGGGTGACTAAAACAGAAAGACTGCCAAAAGTTTGAGGCTAGCCTGGGCTGCATAGTGAGTTTAAGGTCAGCCTGGGCTACAAAGGGAGACCTTGTTGCAAAGAAACAAAATACAAATAAACAAGCATCTTTAGCCCTTTTTTAAATTTTTGAGAGTTTCACTAAGTTGTTCAGGCTGGACTCAAACTTGCAATCCTCATGCTTCTGCCTCCCAGAGTGCTGAGAGCAGAAGTGTGTACCACGCTCAGCAGTGTTTTAATGAGTAGAGCAGTTTCCCTCTGTAACGGGTGTGGGCCTCACCACATCAGCTGAAGGGCAGAGAATACCTAACTCTCCTCAAAGCAGGGGTAGACTGTCAGACCTGGGCTACTGTGTTGACCTTCCTGCCTCCTATGTCAGTGTCCCCAACCTGCTGGCTCAGCCCACAGGTGAGACCTGCCAGCTACTAACATCACAGGGGCCCATGCTTTTTCACCTCACTTCCTTTGGGTCCCTTTGGTTCTGTTTCTGGGAAGAACAAGCAAGGGTTCCTTCCTCAGGACCCCGACCCTCCCTGTCCTAAGCAGTTGGTGACACATCAGCCCTGGTGAGCCAGGAGGGCAGACAGGTGGCTCCCCTCCCTCCTGTGGAGTATGGCAAACCTGCTCACAATACCAGCTTCTGCCCAGGTCGGCAATGACTCAGCCAGGAAGTTGCCTAGCCCTCTGCTTTCTGGAATGCTCAGCTCAGCTGCCAGATTCACCTCTTCATGTGACCCTCACCCCTGCACAGCTGGGCCGCCCTCCATGTGGGGTCAATGGTTAGAAGTTAGGACACTGGGAGCTTTCAGAAACCAATTTATTCAGCCTAAAGGGTCCAGAGAGAAGTGATAGGAACAGGAGCAGTAGCCCAAGTACTTGGGTGGTGAAAATGAGCCCCTTTTCCAAACATCCCCCAGGGTCATGGGACCTGGGCTCCCAGCACTGGGCTTAGGGTCCCTGGACCCAATGGTCCTCACATAGGAAGGTGCCTCTGGTATGAGGAAGGGCAGCAGGATACCTTATATTTATTCCCAGGAGGCCAAAGAGCTCAAGCCAGCTGTCATTGGAGGAGGGGAATGCCCCTGCAGGCATTGGCTGTACAGGAAGCTGGAGAAAAGGGCCATGAAGTTTCCTGGGGGAAGTCATGTGCCCCCTCCCTGACTGTGACCCTGGCTGAGCCAGGCCACAATGGCCAGTTGCCTGCTTAGAGACACTTGGAGAGGAGAAAGCAGAGCAGTCAGGTGTGGTGACACACACCTGTAATCCTAGCACCTAGGAGCCCAAGCAGGAAGACTATTGAGCCCAGAAGTTGGGCCACATGGCCAAGATGCCATTGAAAGAAAGAAAGAAAGAAAGAAAGAAAGAAAGAAAGAAAGAAAGAAAGAGAGGTAAAAAACAGGGGCAGGCAGCCAGGATGGTCAGTCCTGCCCTGTGGGGGACAGGCTGTGGGCAAATGGCTTGGCATGGCTCGAAGAGGATAGGGAGGCTCCTTCACTGGAGTCCTTCTTAACCTTGTCCAGGATGGTCTTCTTGATGGCAGCGGGAGAGACCGTCTCTTGGTCAGCCATGGTTTGCAGCTCCCTGCAGAGGCAGTGAGCAGTTGGGCCCAGAGTGCTCTGGCTCCTTCCAGAGTCTACAGTACAGTTCACATCTGACATCCTGGGGCAGCACTGTGTTGTCACCCCTACCCTAGGGTCCTTGCACCTGCAGTACCCTGTCAGCCACACGCTGCTCCACCCTGCCCCACACAGCTACACAGATCCTGCCACCCCACTCAGTGTCACTGAGTCTACCTAGAGCACCTCCACACCCAGAGCTCTCATTCTAACTAGGAGGCATCTCTGTCTCTCTGTTCCCCTACAAGCAGTACTGAGATGCTACGCCCTGCATCTCAGCCTTGCAGTCATGTGTGGCACTCAGAAATTTGTGGGTATCTGCACTAAAGGGCAGGCATGGTGGTACTCTGCAGACTGACACTTGGGACAGTGCCTTCCTTTGACCTGCTGCAGGATCCCAGCCAGTTTGCTTCTGACTCTCAGGGGTATCTCCCTGTGCCAGGGTGCTTCCCCATGTCCTGCTTATCTAGCTCCCTTATCCCTAGCAAGGCCATGAGGGAGGCTTTGAGACCAGCACATCCCACCCTCACCCTACCCGCGTGCTACGGGCTGGAGTGCAGGACTGGAGATGGCCTCCAGCCACATGTGACTCTATATTCTCACAAGACAATGGAAAGGAGTGAGGGGTATTATCAGTTGTGCCTCCAGTCAGCTTTGGATTCCTTGTGTCCTGCCCAAGGCCAGGATACAGCCCAGGGAATATCTGACTGAGTTGCCACTTTGGGCCCAGGTTCTGCTGTGTGTAGCACACAGAGGGGACTGGGCAGCAGGGCCCACCGTGTGCGGGTGCAAGAGGCTTCCACAGCGTTGATGAGCAGGGAGCGGAAGCCCCCACTCTCCAACACGTGCAAGGCATGAATGGTGGCCCCTCCAGGAGAGCAGACATTGTCCTTGAGCTGGCCTGGGTGCTGCTCCGAGTCCAGTAACATCTTGGCAGAGCCCTGCAGTCAGAGAGAGGGGCTGAGGGCAGTGGGGTACCACTTGGCTCTGTAGGTGCTCCTGCTGACTTCCCTCCGCCTGTCCCCAGTGTCTACCCCCACAGTTGGCAAGGAGCAGCCCCCCTCAGAGGCTCTGGAGACACTGACCAGCAGGGCCTGAGCCCCTAGGCGCACTGCCAGGCGCCTTGGAAGCCCCATCTTCACACCGCCATCAGCCAGGGCATCCAGCGCTGTGAATGCCTGCCAGAAGAAGGCACTTTGAGCCCCATCCCGGCCTCTCTTCCAGGGTTCAGAGCAGGAAGTAGGATGGAACAAGGTAAAGTTCCTAGAGCCTTAGAGCCCCCACCCCAGCCCTGGAAGGGGACCAGCAACAGAGCTACCCTGAGGCCCTGGGAACTGACCACCTCCCCTGCCCCACCTCTCCCAGTCTCACATAGGCAGGGCCACTGCCGCTGAGCCCTGTGACTGCATCGATCAGGTCCTCCTCAACCTCTGTACAGAAGCCCACACTGCCCAGCAGCTGCTCCAGGAGTCTGGCATCCTCCACCTGGGCATGGGTGCCCGTGGCATATACGGTGACTCCCTCCCGCACCATAACTGGGGTGTTGGTCATGCAGCGGATGACCTTGGGGGCTGCCCGATATGCTGTCAGCTTCTGGAGGAGAAATTGACTGTGTCCACCCTGGCCTCAGCCATCTGCCTTTGGCCCAGGTAGATATGCAAGCAAACCACACCTCCAACCTGAGTTCCCACCGTGGCCTGGGATGCAGCATCCCTGTAGTGGAGAACCCAGCAATGGAGGGTAGAGCTCTGGACCCTATGTCTCCGCCCCTTCTCTAGGCTCTGTTGGTCTGGAAGCACCCACCTTCTCAATGGAGTTAATGGTGACACCAGCTGCACAGGACACCACAAGATGCCTGTCCTCGATGTTAACGCCGATCTCGTCCAGGACGAAGGGGATGATGTGTGGCTTCACAGTCAGGAAGAGCACATCACTATGCTGAACTGTCTCCTTGTTGTGGGGTGTCAAGTTCACCCCTATCTTCTACAAATGTGCAAGGCAGCTCAGCCTGTGCCAGGGGCTGTCTAGTCCCACAGAACCTGCCCTGCCTCTCCTGCAAACCCCACATGTAGAACTGCCAGATGCTACTATACTGTGGGCCAAGGGAGTGAGCCCTGCAGCCACTTAACCCTTTCCATATAGAAGGGAAGAAAGGGTCTGCTCAGTGTGTGAACATTTTGCAGACAGAAAGGGAGACGTTTTGTCCAAGCTTCAGCCCTGGCTCAACTCACGGCAGGCTACAGCCTCCAGAGACATATGTCCCTCAGCTCAAGTGGTATCAACTGGAGAGCACTCACTCCCCACCCTTGGATCTGAAACCCTAACTCAGTTCTGGCAAACCAGACATATTCAGCTCTCAGGCATGTCTTACCTGGCTCGCAAGTGAAGGTCCATCTGCCTGACCCCTGTTCAATAATCCTATGCCCCACAAGTGCCCTTTCCCACCAACTGTACACATGGCCAGCAGGAGCCAGTGGCAGGTGAAGAGGTAGGGTCACTCTTCTCAGTGGGACGGGAGACAGCACAGCCCCCCACATTACACACACTTATGGGCCATCACTATCAGGGCTGTCACATCCCTAGCTCCAAATATACATGTAGAGACCCAGTCTTCCATCAACTCTTCACCAGGCACCTACCCTGAGAGCAGAAACTGTGTCCAGGTCCATGTCTGGGGAGCTGGCTATTATCCTGTGAGCAGCCAGGACACCTGGGAGGTAGAGTTCCTCCTTCAAGGAAATGTCATGCCTCCCTCCCCCATATTCCCAGGGAAGACACTGAAAAGAATCCTCCCCTACCAAGATCGCAACCTCAAACATAGGGATACTGCTTTTTCCCACTCGTGTGTCCATGAAAGCCGCACACCCATTTTGGCAGGCAGCCGCGCATAAGGGTAAATAAAGGGGCCCTGTCTCACTCAGCCCCCTTTCCGGGGTCTACGGTTTACCTGCCGCTGTGAAGCCCTTGGCCAGGGCGAAAGCCAGCTGGCCAGCCCCGATGAAGCCCACGCTCATGATGTCTGCAGGCCCCACGCCTACAGTCCTTACAGCTGGTCACGGCTTTCGTTGCAAGGGGCAGGAGAGGCAAGCTGAGCAGGATGAATGGCAGGAAGTTAGGTGGGCGCCTGTCCTAGCCAGCCCAACGCTCCCTGTTGCTGTCTGTCCGGGGCGCCCCTCCTGGTAATTGCCCCAGCTCTGGGCCAAGAGTCGGGTCTCGGGCAGGCTGCGAGGCTCCAGTCCCTCGGAAAAAGGCCAAAGATCCGCAGCAGTTCCAACGAGGGGAGGAGTTGCCCCAGCCCCAAAACTTCCACCCCAAAGCCGCCAGTCCGACCCCAACCAAGATACCCAGATGGCGATCTTGGGTCGGCTGCGAAGCGCCCGCCGCCACGCGTCACCCAGCGGGCCAGCCACCGTGGCCCGCCCCCAGCAGATCCACGTTGCCGCTGCAGCGAGCCGGCCAATCGGGAGCCGCAGCCGCGTCCCGGGCATTGCGTCATCCCCCGAGCCGTCCCGGGTCGTACCTGCTAGCCAGGACAGTGCCCGAGAGTGGGGCCCCTCCCCAAAGAGGTGGGCTTTCTCCTTCGTGCCATGCCTTGCCGCTTCTTGGGCGCCCATTTTCACAGCTGGGCGCCCTCTGTGATCTCTGCCCCCTAGTCCCTGACTCTCCTCCTAACAGGAGGTGGCCATCTAGTAAATAAGAGAGGATCGTCCTATGGTGTCTCAGCTTCCCAATCCCCGCCCCCCTTTCTCATCCTCAGAGTCCCTGGGATTTTTCTGCCCTAGGTTAGAGAGAATAAGATCCTAATCATTTCCTCTGAGGCCCTAGGATTTACTGAGGGCCTGGGCATTTGTCTGCTTTGAGACCACTGGGCAGTTAGGGATCCCCAGCAACAGGACCAGTGGCAAGGTAGAAGTGGGACGTCACATTCCATCCTCCACCAAGAGCAGAGATGGCCTGCTCTATTTTTCCTGCTCTGGGCCTTGATGAGGACGTTTCTGCCTCCATGGATGGGCTCCTGGGTTTTTGTTAAGTGTGTGTCCCAAGGTGATAACTCCGACCCATGACATAAAACCTGGAAATTTGTTACGTTTCCAGAGATTGAGCTTCTGTTTGTAAAGACTGCTTTTTCCTCCTGGCCATAATGACAAATAATATTCTTCCTTAACACAAAACAGGATAGTCCTGGCCCAGGGAGCAACCATCAGCAGAACCAGCCCAAGATGAGCCTTTTGCATGCCTTCTGCATGCAATTCTTGAGCCTTGACCCCTCCCATCCTCAACCCTGTCACAGGACCTCTGAAATTTAGTTTGGATGGTGTGCTGTGGGCAGAAGGTCATTAGACAGTGAGGAAATAGGGGACCTCAAAACAAGTTATGCCTAACTTGCTTTAGAATCTCAGCTAGCAAAAGAAGGAAACAGGTAAGTAGAGTCCCTCCCCAGTGTCCAAGTCTCCCCTATGAGTTGGGAATGGCGTGACCCATGTGCTCTTTTGTTACCTGGTGATATGAACTTCAGACCCCTTGAAAATGTGCCCTTGAGCCCCATGTACCCACCTTTCATAATAAAAGATACTGATCTAGATCCCTCTCCTGCTGGCCAGCTGAAGTCACTTGGCTCACATGGTGTTGCCCAGGGCCTGGCTCTGAGCCTTTGGAGCCTAAAACTGTTGTGGTTGCACTGCTCAGAAGGTGCAACAACCTGTCTACCCATGCCTGAAGCCTCTGGGACCCCCAGACGGGGATGTGGGGAGTCGGTGAGTATTAGAAGCCCACAGGAAGGAGGAGACTGAGTTCAGTATTGATCTTCCCTTCTTTCCACTGGGCCATCCAAGCCATCCTGGCTTGTTATCCATTGAGGAAGAGAACCTCTGTCTCTTCTTCAGGAGGCTGCCCTCAAATTCTTAGGAGACAAGGTCAGTTTTCCATGCACCCCAGAACCCAGAGGGTCCCCATGACCAGGTCCTCTCTCAGTCAGGTTCCAGTATAGATCCTCCCTGAGCATGCGGGGAGGGGGTAGTTAGTATAGGAGGTGCAACTGCCACAGCCCCTCACCAGAGACCACTCAGCCAAAGCCAGGGTGCAAATGAACACCTGCATTTATTTGCTGCTCATGGACCTTGGGAGACAGCCAGTGGTGTTTGGATCCACCCCAGGCTGGTCCACTCTGGGGTCACATACAGGGGAAGCTAACTGGAGCATGGAGGATGATGGTACCAGCATCAGCCTTGGCAGTTAGGACAGATGGACAACTGGATGCTTAGAGGAGTCCTAGGGGCTGCCCCAGGTGGGGCCCTCACCATCTGTTCAGATCACCTTTCTTTTTTTTTTTTGTCTTTTTCATTTTTATCGGTACCAGGGATCGAACTGACAACCGCCTGCTTGCAAGGCAGGTGCTTATGCCGCTGAGCTAAATCCCCAGCCCCCAGATCACCTTTCAACCTAGCCTCTGGGAACCTGCAGTGGGCACTACCACAGCTGCTGAATTATGACCCATCATGGGTGTCAGGTGAGGCTCTGTTGCTGGGTAGGGATCCATCTCCTCCACACACTGGTAATACTACTGGTGTCAGTGGGCCCTGGAAGGCTCACATCACCACCTCCAACCTCAGTCCTTGGCTGTGGCCACTGGGAGGCCCCGTGGAGGCAGGGCCTCATTCAGGCTAGTGGGCAACCAGGCTGAAGGTGGTGCTGATTCTGATTTCCAGGGTTCTTCTCTGTGAGCAGGGTTCTGGAACTGCCCCTTCAGACGAGGAGCCTCTAGCCCCTCTCCTAACCTCCCTGGCTGGCTCCAGGGCTCTGCCTGATTCATATCCAGTCTAAGCACCATCTCCAGACACTGATGAGCATACTGAGCCATCTCCAAAGTCTTTTAGTCCCAGTGTCCCCAGTTACAAAGTGGGTCACAGCAGCAGGTGTTCCAGAGGGTTTCCCCACCTGCACTGAGCCTAGGGAGGGCTGAAAATGAGAGAAAAAGATTAAAGATGGAGACGGAGACAGAGATGAGAAAAATGAGAGCCAGGAGCATCTTCTGCCATGTCTGCCCTGAGCCCTCAGTCTCCTTGCTGCTGGCCCCTGATGTTCCAGTTCACCTTGGTCATCCTCCTGTGCCTGGGGCCACAACTGGTGATTGCAGGCAGCCACTTGCCAGGCTACAGGGTGGGCACAAAGCGGATCCTCTGCGAGTAGGCCAGGTCGACAATGTAGAGGAGCAGGTTGACATATGTGAAAATGGCTATCACCAGCTGGCTGTCCCAGGAGCAGCTGCCCTGGGGGCAGTTAGGGGGCCGCCTGGGCTCCCCATATTTGGGATCGAAGCAGAAGACAGGCCAGATCACGGCAGCACTGAGGTACAGGAGCACAGCCAGAAAGGTATACACCACCACTAGGCGGTCGAAGGGACAGCCCAGGGCCCCCATGTGGCCCATCACACTCAGGGCCACCACAGCCACTGTGACCAAGAAGCACAAACTGTAGACAGCCACGCACCATTGCATGGCTGCGTAGCGCCCATAGTTGCTGTCGTGGACAAGTGCCCCAAAGATAATACAGGCCACAAAGGCCTGGACAATCTTGAGAAGCCCTGACACTGTGGCCATGTAGCTAGCTACCTGGCCAGGCCGCGCCCTCGTCAGGGCCACTTCAGAGGCGTAGGACAGGAAGAGGAGCCCAGCGAAGACACTGGCCGACAGGCGAAAGTTCCGGGCCGTGCAGCCGGCAGGCTCGGGCAGGCACTGGAGCTGGGTGAAGTAGAGCGGGTAGATGACAGCGGCTGTGGCACACAGTAGCGTGGCCAGCATGGCAAAGGCCGCAGTGAAGTTGCCCCAGGAGAGGCGCAGGCAACCATGGAGCTTTGTGAACTCACAGGCTACCACTAGGACAGACAGGGCGAAGCAGAAGCCCCAGGCAGCCATGCAGAAGGTACCTTGGACGCCAGCGAACCCGCCTCGGTGGGCAACCAGGCTGAAGGTGGTGCAGCCGAAGACCAGCTGCAGCACACGGGCGGTGCCCACTGGGGATGTCACGGCACCCAGGTGTAGGTATGCACCCCCAGGGGGCTCCATGGTGCCGCTCATCTGGCTGACTGCCTCCTACCCTCACACAGTGCCCAGCAGTCCTGTGTCTCCGCCCGGTTGAGGGCCCTCTGTGCTCTGCGGTGGAGGCAGGTGCCGGCAGTCTGCAGCAGCGGAGCCAATGGTGACATTGCAGTAAGGCAGCTTCCCTGCCGCCTGTGTGGGGAGCCCCCTCCCCCAGCACTATAAATAGACAGCGGCGCTCGGAGCCTGGGAATAGCAGCCCACGTGCCTGTGCCCATCCTGGAGGGACATCTGACCCCAGTGTCCCAAGAAGAACCCCTGCCAGGACCCATGGCTGCTGGTGCCGCCCAACTCCGCCTCCTAAACACCTGCGTCTTTCAGTCCGGTCAGTGTAGGGGAGGGGTGGGAAGGGGTGGGAATGAGCAGATAGCACGGGGTCCCGGCTGTGTCACCCCAGTGCCAGCAGCAGGCAGGGCCAGCTGCTTAGGAATAGTGCAGGGAAATGGAAGCCTAGGAGCGGGCGGGGGGGCGAGGGGGAGATCTTTCTCCTCATCCCACCGTCCCTGCAGTAGGGTTCAGGGCCCTGCTAGTCTCAGACCATTGTCATTGTCCTTGAGATTCACATACCTCTGACCCCCAGAGCTGTGGGGGAGGGAAAGGTGGAGCATGGAGATCCTGGGCCTTACCCACCTGCATGGGGGAGGTTTGAATTTTAACTATAATTTGGGGGTACCCCTATGAAGTGTATGTGAATGCCTAGGAAAAAAAACTCAATTCTTTTTTCCTCTTGAAGCAGGGTCTCTGTAGTCAAAGCTGGTGTGAAATTCACTGTTACCCAAGGGCGGTCTTTGAACCCAAGATCCTTGGGGCTGGAACTGGCTCAGTGGTAGAGCTCTTGCCTTATGTGTATTTGAGATCCTTCTGTCTCAGCTTCATGAGTGCTGGGATTACAGGTGTGTACCGCCACTCTTTGCTTCAACTCTACTGTTTTTTTTTTTTTTTTTTTCTTTCTGATACTGGGGATCAAACCCAGGGGTGTTCTGCCACCGAGCTACATCCCCAACCCGACCCTTTTTATTGTACATTTTATTTTGAAACAGGGTCTCCCTAAGTCATTAAGTTGCCTAGGCTGGGCTTAAACTTGTGAGCCTCCTGCGTCAGCCTCCCAGAGTGTACAGACATGTGCTACCTTGTCCAGTTTTCAACTTTTTTTTTTTTTTTTTTTGAGACAAGGACTCACTATGTAGTACAACCCGGCCTTGAACCCCTTTATGTAGCCCAGGCTGCCTTCTATCTCACCCTCCAGAATGCTGGGATTATGGGTGTGTGCCACCAAACCTGGCTTCCTCAACAGTTTTAGTTGAAAAAAATTTTAGATCCATAGAAGAGTGGCAGAATAGCATGACCAGCTCCTATGCGCCCTCTGCCTCCTGTTGTGGTGTGCGTCTAGATAGCCTCCCAGGGCCTTCTGTAGTTTTAGATGGGCCTTTTGGAGGTGGCTAAATCTAGCATGTGCGATTGACTGGTAGTGGTGGTGGTGGGATTAAGGGTGGATGATTGCTGCACCGATTGGATTGGCACTGCCTGAATCCCAGTAGACTGGATACAATTAAAAGACAGAAAGAGGTTGCTCTCTCCCTTGCTGCTTTTGCTGTCTGCCATGAATTGTTCTCCTTTGTGAAGCTGCCCTGCTTTGCACCCAGACAACAGTGAATTGAAACCTCTATAAACTGTGAGCTAAATAAATGTTTTCTCCTTTAACTTTGGTTATTGAATATTCTGTCTCAGCAATGAGAAAATAAATAAGACACCTACATGGAAGAATTTTCTGTTTTAAAGTACTGGAGACAAAAGTAAGAGTCTTGAAAAAAAAAAAAGTAAGAGTCTTGGATATACTAGACAAATACACTACCACTTACCTATATCCACAGCCCAGGAATTGTTCATATTTTGCTCTGTCTGTGTTCTCCTGCTAATTAATTAGCTATGCAGATATGACAGACTCTAGATATTTCCAGAGCTGTTTCTTCTGAGGAAGACCATGTCCCTAAGGACTTGCAGCACCGTGGTCACGCTAGGGAGACTTGAGAATGGGCACCTGGTATGGTCCACAGTCAGTTTTCCTTACCTGTCCCCAAATTGCACCTGAATGACTTTGAAGTTTTTCACCCAGATTGGGGTCAGGATTGTGGGTTGCTCATGGCTGCTGTGGCTCTCATCTGGTTTTTTATCTGCAGTCTCCCCTACTTTCCTTGTATTTCATAACAAGACTTGGGGTTTTTTAGTTTTGTTTTGTTTTTTTCCTATCCTAGAGACTGAACCCCTAGCTCTTTAAAAAATTTTTCAGAGGGGTTGGGGGTTTAGCTCAGTGGCTTAAGTGCCTGCCTGGTAAGCCTGAGGCTGTGAGTTCAGTCCCAGTACCAAACTCAGGCCCTTGTGCTTGCTAGACAGGTGCTGTGTAGCTGAGCCACATCCCCATAAAAATGTATTTTGAAGGGGCTGGGGATTTAGCTCAGTGGCATAAGCAACTGCCTTGCAAGCAGGCGGTTGTGAGTTCGATCCCTGGTACCAATAAAAATGAAAAAGACAAAAAAAAATGTATTTTGAGACAGGGTTTCCCCTCTGTAGCCCAGGCTAGCCTTGAATTTGTGGTGATCCTCATGCTTCAGCCTCCTGAGTGCTGGGACTATAGATGTACACTACCATGCCCAGTTTAACACTGATTTTCTTGGAGAGCCCTGGCCAGGGACTTTACAGACTGCTCTGCAGTGTGTAATGGCTGAATATTTCTTCATGGTTGGAGTCCAGGCTAACAGGGGACATACTGTGAAAGGCCTAGCATCTGGTGGAGCAGGTTTCCCCCACGGGTCTTAGGCTCTGCTGGTGCTTCCCCAGGGCAATGTCTGCTAATAAGGTTCCTATAGTAGTTACAGTGAAGTGAGGAGGACAGGCCTGCAACCCTCTGATGTGACTCTGGATGCCTTGGAGTATTGAGAACATCAGGGAAGCCCTGGGAGGTCTGCCCCAAGGCATCTGAGCTTTTGCTCCCCAGGTTTGGGGGCAGGGTTGTCCTGGATCCAGTTGCCTCCTGACTACAGAGAGGCTTGGAGAAAATGATTTAACTAATCACCAGGCGTGCTGGCTCACACCTGTAATCCCAGCACTCGGGAGGTTGAGGCAAGAGGATTGTAGCAAGTTCAAGACCAGCCTAGGCTACAAAGTAAGCTCAAGGCCAGCCTGAACTGCACAGCGAGACCCAGTCTCAAAAAGACAAAACAAAACAAACAAAAAAAAAGATTTAACTTATCTCACATGAAGACGTGTACTACTGTCACTCAAGTGCTTGGTAAGCAAATCATGACACCAGATCTTGCTGGGTTGCTGTCTATCTTTCCTTTTTTTTTTTCTTTGAGATAGCCCAGGCTGGCCTTAACTCTCAGTGATCCTCTTGCCTCAGCCTCACCAATACTGAGGTTCCAGGTTCACATTACCATATCTTGTGAGGTTTACTTGATTTTTCTTCTCTTCTGTGGGTGCAGGTATGCTAGTAATCACACACACACACACACACACACACACACACACACACACACACAGAGACAGGATTTGAACCCAGGCCTTGAGTATTCTAGGTAAGAGCTTTACCAGTGAGCTACATCCCCAGAAACTCACTGTGTAAAATTTCACTGTGAGACATTTCTCTAAATTGCCTAGGTTGCTTCTCCTAATATCTTGTTTTGAAATTTTGTTTTATTTCTTCCTCTTTAAAATAAAATTAAAGGACTGGGCATGGTGGCACACACCTAAAATCCTAGCATTCGGGAAGCTAAGGCAGGAGGATCCTTACGAGTTTAAGGCTAGCCTGCGCTACAAAGTGAGTTCCAGACCAGCATGAACTGCATAGTGTCTCAAAAAGACAAAAAAAAAAAAAAATAAAAATTAAATTATTTTTTAAAGCAAAGTTAATAATAATAAATAAATTGCCCAGGTTGGCCTGATTTCATTTCCTCTTGCCTCAGCTTCCCAGGTAGAATTCAGTCATTTCTTTTTCTTTATTTATTTCCTTTTTTTCTTTCATTTTTTTTGGTCTTAACTACATAAACTGTCACTCTTGTTCTGCTGCTGACCTGTACATCTGTCCTCCTGTACTCTGCAAACAGAGGAGGGCTGTGGGACCCACAGCACTGGACATCTAAGAGCCCTGACTCAACACTGCTAATGCCCCAGTGCGCCCAGAGGCTCAGGGCTGGGAGGCAGGCAGGAGTCAGGCACTCTGTGGAAGTCACAGCAGGAAGACCTTCAGGGAACCCTGTCGGGGACTCTGGGTTCTGAGTGAGAGCAGCCCTGGGAGTCAAATGCAGCAGTGTCCCAGGGAGTATGGCTGGGACTATCCGGTGGTCCCTAGAGCCCCCTGTCCAGCCACATTCTGAGTCTACTTGGCTCATGAGGTGAGGGAATCCTTGGGCCCTGCCCAGGAGAGAGTTGTCTAGCCCAAAGGGGCCCAAGGGTTACTGGGCCAGGTCTGGAGAGGAAGACTCCCGAGGCAGGGCAGCAAGTGCTGAGCTCTGGTCTAGTCCCAGACTCCAGGGCTCAGTGCTGGGATTATAGGTGTGCCCCACTACACCCAGCCCAGCTCAAATTTTCTTTTCTTTTTTTTTCTCTGATTCAAATTTTTCTAAAGCTAAACAACCAGGATGAGAATAATTAAAAAATAAACTTTATTTTATGAAGCATTACAAATTAATTTAAGAGAGCCAGATTTATATTGTATGAATAAAAAACTTGATCTTACAAAAATGTTACCATATTTTTTAGAACAGTTTTAGATTTTTTAAATTCTTTTTTTTTTTAATCAGTACCAGGGATCAAACTCACAACTGCGCTCTTACAAGGCAGGCGCTTATGCCACTGAGCTAAATCCCCAGCCCTCAAGAATAGTTTTAGATTTACAGGGCAATTGATCAGGTCATATGGAATTCCTTCGAAACACTTCTCTCTGTCGACATCTGACAAGAGCTTATTGCATTTGTTACATTAATGAACCAATTAATGAGCCAATATTATATTATAAATAATAATGAATTACAGGTGACCCATACCTGTAATTCCAGAACTCTAGGAGGCTAAGGCAGGAGGATTGCAAGTATGCCCAGATGGGACAACTTTATTTAAAGTATTAAAAAATGTACTGGAGGGTTGGGGATTTAGCTCAGTGGCATAAGTCGTGAGTTCGATCCCTGGTACTGATAAAAAGGAAAAAAGACCAAAAAAAAAGAAAATGAAAAAATGTACTGGAAAGAGATATAAGCCAGTTCAAAGGCCCTGGGCTCAACCTCTAC